AGTTCCGTCTTGCCGTTAGAATAGAAACGAAACGATAGGCATTCATCAATTCTTTCGATGCATCTGCAAGCTGGCTTCCATCTAATGAGACATGAATGCGGTACGAGAGACGATCAATTGCCCATCCGTGGACCATGGTTCAGACAGGTCCAGCGGGTCCGGACCACGAACGGTCATCTCGATTTGGGATCCCCTACGCCTGGAACCGGACAGCCCAAGCCCAAGCCCTGGGGCCCAGCCTTATCAATTCCTTCTGGTCTCGTTGGTATCGCAAGTTGTCGTTCGTCAATGGTGTCAAGACTAACAACGTGACCTCGAGACGATACAATACATATTATATTCTCCGCGCGTTAAGGCGTTAGTTAAAGCGGACTTCAGCTGTGCATCCATGCGACATGAAACTCTGATATCTCGTCGTATCATCGTTGAACCCTCCCCCCGCATAACCTCCTGCAATGTTTGGCGGCTTCTGACCGCAGAGACGTTGTGCCTTGCATGTCAGCCATGCCATGCTCTCTTATGTCTCCCCGGGTATAAGTCGCATATCTGTGAAATCTCTCTAAGCCACCCGCATCAAAAGTTGCATATGCAGGATTTATGTACGGTAGGCAATATATGTAGATGTATTTTATACATTTGATTTATATCGACCCCATTCATCCCCTTTTTTCCTTTTCTCTCTCTTTTCAATTTCGACTTCCCCTTACTTGCTTACTACTGTTCCGTAGACGAAAACTACTTGCCATAGTACACCACTCAATGCAGCCAAGGAAAACCCCCTATTTCCCAGGAAAAATCCCCGATTGAAAAATAAAACCACACAACCTCTCACCCTGCCCCACCCGAAGAGGCGGTCCCTGCGGTCCCTACGGTCCCTACGGTCACTGCTACGGCGCTACGGCAAGGTACCCGAGGTGCGCAATATATTAGCGCGGAATGCAGTACGACCACGCAGAGATACGCTTTTCCTGTAGGTACAAACTTACCCAGAGTCGCACCCTACATTGGATCTGGATCTTTCCAATTTTATCTGTTCTCGTGGGAATTTAACGACGGGAAGACTGTGCCTTTGCGCCTGCGTATTTGCAGAAGCGCTGTAATCTCGCTCGTCAGCTATAATGCCATAAACACCGACAATATGCCGCTGAAGTGGCTTGTTAAATCTTATTTCTTGTTATGAGGTTACATATGTACATATATTTGTAGAACATGAAATACTTAAAATAGTTAGTACTAATGTACCTGCTCGGAAATCGTGGAGCAAGCCAACTTGTCCTACATACCGCCAGTTGTGTCTATCACAAGTGATACGTGTAGCTTGGAAAAGCTGACGGTTCTTCATTATGCTCGCATCATTTACGCCGCTCGTATGCCGAGATTCGCTTTACCTGTTGATTTACTCTTCCTAACCTAACAGTCTAAGTACTGAATACAAATATACGCACAACCCTATCAAGTATTCATATCTATGTCACTCCAGTCCACGTACTAAGAAACATTGCTATAACTTATCTCACTGGGGCCGAATCTTCAGCATAGACTCTGGAGAAACGTGTCCAGTCTCTTCCGGGACTATTTCGGCTATGAGGACTACGAAGGAACGGCTTAGACGTCCGGTTATATAATGGCTTATTACGAGCGGCGTCAAGACTTGGGAGTATGAAAAGATCGTCCCGATTTCAGAGCCAGTGAATGATCAACTATGGCTTAGTTAGGAGAGTCGGTCACCACATGTCATTCTCACTCGGAGAAATGCCAACAAGACTCGAATATTAGCTGTCGCCGACGTGTCCTTCAATCCTTCAAAGGAACGGTCTATTCACGGAATAACGGAATAACGGAATAGCTAATCTCGGAAAGCATCGTCTAGTTGCTCATAAGCTTGACCGCTTTCCTCAAGCCCAATCACATCCTGCTTTGGATCCACCAGATCTGTCGTCGCATGCTTCCCGCAAGTCCCAGCGGCAAACCTCGTGCAGAGACCCAGCATCTAAGAAGGAACACTTGTCATCACCGCTCAAGGCTTGCATCGTCCCATAAAGCGGGGGTATAGACAAGTCGTGCGGACAGTGTGCTGGTTGGCAATCCAAGCCAGGAATCGTTCAAGGCCGAGACCATATCCACCGTGGGGAGAAGTACCGTACCTATGCTAACAGTTAGCTTCAAATCGAGATGATGAATCCTAGGGGGGAAGACTCACTTGCGCTGGTCAGTGTACCAGTAGTAGTCTTTGGCGTCGATGCCCTGCTTCTTGTATGCCTCGAGCAGCTCCTCATATCCTTCCATCCTCATACTACCGCCAACGATCTCGCCGACGCCTGGCATCAAGCAATCTACACTCTCGGTTACTCGTAGGTCTGAGGGATCCTTCTTCATGTAGAAAGCCTTGATTTCCACGGGGAAATGTGTCAGGAAGATAGGTCGGTTGATGATGTCTGTCATCCTACGTTCCGCGGCCTCCGCGATATCATCTCCGAAAACGTGGGGGTTGCCCTCCTCGTTCGGGATAGGGGGGTCTTGCGCGTTGAGCCAGTCGATGGCGTCCGTATACTTCATGCGCAAGAATGGTCGAGCGGGTTTTTGGAAAGTGGGGTTGAGTTCTTTCAGATGAGCGGCGATAATTGGGTTGGCAAGGACAATATCGATGACCCGGCAGATGACTTCTTCAAGGTGATCGAGCAGCTCGTCGAAGTTGATATAATCCAATTCGGCCTCGATATGGGTGTACTCGGAAAGATGACGGCGCGTCAAACTCTTCTCGGCACGGAATGATTTCTCGATGCAGTAAACATCTCCGAGGCTCGGGATAACGGTCTCGAGGTAGAGTTGAGACGACTGAGTCAAATAGGCCATCTCATCGTAGTAGGGCGCGCTGAAGAGAGTCGCACCGCCTTCGACCTGAGTTTGCACCAGGGCAGGGGGCGAGACCTTAGTGAGGTGTAGTTCCTCGTAGACCTTCGTGAAAGCGCCCTCCACTGCTGCTCGGATCTTCATGATCGCAGAGGCATTCTCGCCTCGGAGAACCAGGTGTCGGTTATCAAGCATCTGGGCATCCCATTGGTTCTGCTGGGACGAGACCTTGTTGGTGATGGCATCCTCGTCGCTTGGTGACGCGCCCAGAACCTCGTAGTAGTCCACGTGCAACTCTCTGTCGTCGGGGGCTGTCTGTCCAGCAAGGACCTTGCGCATCTCACCATACAGGGCAAGCGAGGTACCCTGGGCGAAAGTTAGAGCATCGTAGGTCTTAGTAAGGTCACCAGCAGCCAATATGCATTGCAGCTGTCCATATCCGTCGACCAAGGTAATAAAGGTGGCCTGCTTTTGTACTCGTAGGCGGTGGATTCTTCCAAAGACCTTGACTCGTGTGCCCTTCTTGTCACCCTCTCCAAGCTCGATGTCTTTGCGGCTAATCTTAATCCTGATAGGCTTGGGTAATGACTCATCCTGCTTGAGCACAATCTTCTTAGCAGCCTCGAGGTTCTGCAGCCTCTGCTTCTTGATCTCGGCCTCGGCAGCAGCAGCCTGTTGCTGCTTCTGAACTTTCTTCTTGTGTGCGTCGAGGGCTCCTTGGGCTTTCTTGAGGGCGCTCTTGGCGGGTTCCTTCCACAAGAGTCTTACGGAAGGGTCTTCGTCAGGTCCGACGGGACCAGTTTCGGAGGCTCGAGTCTGATACTGGGGTGTAGGCTTCTCGAAGTTCCGGATATATGCGTAGGCCAGCGACTTGTATGGCTTAAACTCGGAGCCATCAGCAGTCTCGTCGTCCTTGCCTGCGTCGGTGTCGACGTAGCACTTCTCGTCGTTCTTGACCCTCTGGGCCAATTCTTGAACGGCAGACATGATTGTGCTATTCTAGACGGCGGTTCCCGTCCAAATCTCGAGGGCTGCAAGCTGCGCGAGTGCGACGACGTTTGTTTCCCGAATTCTGTTCGCAGGTTCGCAGGTTCGAAGGTGGGATGGATGTGAAAGCTGGACTGAATTAGTGGGTTTATGAAATCGATGGTGGGCTGTGGTGGGGTAATCAAATATCAAAAATTGTTGATAAGAAGTAGCACTTGGTTCGTTCTTTCTTTTTCCTACATCTACTTTAATTAGCCGGCATTTATCTGCTCTGCCTCTTTTTGGTTGTTGCCTCACGCATTCTCCGATGAATTTTATTGATAGCAGTTTCAGAAGCTCGCCCTGTTGAAATTCAAGTTACCTTAGGTACCTAAGATAAGCCAGCCTATGTGTAACATGAAGCATCAGTTTCAAGGGTCTACCACATGCATTTCTTATCTCTCCAAGCCCAGGATCTAGTCTGCGATATCGGATATGATCTATTCTGTCCTTGAGGTGTACGATTGTGATGCGAGCGTCGAGACTGACTAGATTGTGACTTCAGCCCCCAAATGCCCAGGAATAATGAGCATGAGTAAACTACTTGGACCATGATATCGATAAAATTACTTTGTAGATGAGATATTCTTGAAGAGCATTGTTATCCGGGCTATACTCCAATTGATAGCCGGGCTATGTTTCATTTTTTTTTCGAGATCACGTGATGCGCCCCCGCACCTTATCAGCCAATCAGACTCTTAAAAACGATTCAAACAAGTACGTACCCCAATACGTACCCCCATATACACCAATGCATATACCAATGCCAACATACTCATCTTTCAATTTAAATAACTTTTTCAATATAGTTACCGTCTCCTTGCAACATATATCATTAGATAGCCCGTAAAATAAGAAAAATAATGGTACCGGTCGCACTATGTTAGCCATTTAATTCGATTTTATATGTGCAAATGAATATCTTGCAATTGTCGGTATATAATAACACGGTTAAGGTCTTACAGTATTATACATAGTTTTACTACCTTTTGTAAATTGAATAAATTACCTAGAATGATGCAATTAGTATCATAATTTTCCTAATTTTACGGGCTATTTAACGATATATGTGTTGAGAAAAGGGAGATTATATCAAGAAAGTTATTTGAATTGAAAGATGAGTATGTATGTAAAGGTATGTGTATAAGTTCAAAGGTTGAAATGGTGTGAATTGATTGGCCGAAGGATGCGGGGGGCGCATCACGTGATCTCAAAAAAATGAAACATAGCCCGGCTATCAATTGGAGCATAGCCCGGATAACAATGCTCTTCTTGAATCTGTTCGTGAAAATAGTTTCATCGGATATCTAGTCTGAAGACTACACCGTAGAAAATTAGTGTTGCTTTTATACTCAGAATCTTCACGCAACAACTCCATCATATTGTCACCGAGTTAGTCATCCCACCGTAACATCTAGCTCAAACTCTTCACCAAACATAACTCCAAACCCAGTAGCTATTCCCGCCTAATACCTCAAGTATCTCTACCCGCGCTCGAAACGGAGCTACTCCGTATAGATATCCCCTACGTCTATAACTCATCCCTATCGCCATTCCCCTCCCCACTCGCCCCCGTCTTCCCCATCTCCTTCAACCCCCTCTTAACCATACTACTCAGTATCTCAAACACAACCTGCGCCGCCGCCAGCGCCGTCTCCTCCCCAACCCCCTGATATGCCGGCGCAACCTCCACCACATCCGCGCCTACAAGATTCAACCCCTCAATCCCCCTCAGTATCCGGATCAGTTCCCGCGTAGTCCACCCTCCCGGCTCCGGCGTCCCCGTCCCTGGCGCAAACGCCGGATCTAACACGTCGATATCAACCGATAAGTAAACCGGGTCCTCCGTCCCCAGCGTGCCCATGATACTCTCTACAATCCCCTTCGTCCCCAGCTCATCGACATCATCCGCACTAATACGCACCCAGTTCTGCGCATCGTCGTCTTCGTAGTCTTCCAAGCCAGACAGCCGTGTCCGCAACCCAGCATGCACACTTGCGGACCCCGTCCCGTTCGCTATCAGTCCCTCTTCCCCAGCCAAGTAAAACATGGAGCCGTGCGTGAAGCGCGACTGCTCCGAGGCCCAGTAGCTGGGGTATTTGGCCGGGTGCCAGGTATCCAGGTGCGCGTCGAAATGGAGCACGCGCAGCGGGCCGTGGGCTGCGAACGCCGCTCGCAGCGCCGGTAGGGATAGGCTGTGATCGCCGCCCAGCGTGACGAGCTTAGGGCGCGGGTGCAGGGAGGGTGAAGACGGGGCGCGCGCCCCGAGCTCCGTGAACGCAGCTGTCATCTGCTTCACCGCCACCGCGTTGTCTACCGGGACTACGGGGATGTCTCCGCAGTCCAAGATCCGCGCCCAGCTCGCGTAGGGGTTGATTCCGGCGCGGGGGTTGAAGCCTCGGAAGGAGGTCTGCCGCGCCGAGGCTGCGCGGATGGCGCGGGGGCCGAAGCGCGCTCCTATTATATTATCTGCTTAGTGGTACGGTTCAGGGGCGGATGAGAATATTACCTGGCGGGTGAGAATATAGGTAAACTTCGAAAGCAGGAAGAAACAGACGAGGAGGACTCCTCGTGAGAGAGATGAATTCGCGATCTCGTGAATAAGCAAAGCAGACTCAGACTCACCAGGCCGGTAGCTCACCGCGGTATCAAAGGGAGCGCCGATGATGGCGATGTCGAAGAGCTCGCTCGGCGTCGTTAGACACTTGTGATATTCCAGGTGAGCGAACGTGGAAATCCCCGAGAACCCCCACTGTACGCGGTAAGTTGTTAATATATATGATTCGGTAGACTGGTTAAATATGCGATTTGAAAATCATTGCTGCGCCTGAGGGTCAAGAGAATGACACCCTTTTTCTTTCGTGTAGATATCGTCGTATGACCATTACCTCGACCTATTCAGCCAGAATCTTTGACCCTTATTCGCTGTATGTCGCATATGCTATAGTCGAAATAACGAGATGTCCTTTTTGCTTACCTCCGCCCCCCATTTCTTTTCTAATTCGTCAAGTTCCTCTTGAGTCCATTCTCTAACCTGATGGTCATGTCCGCCGCAAGCTTGGACGAGTGCCGAGAAGCAACTTAGGGCAAGACAGATAAGGTCCTTCGATCTCATTACGTCTGGCTCCCTCTATACGGGACTTATCAACAACAACAAATTAGACGTAAACGCAATGCAAATGTAGGCCGTAAGCAAACACTTTCAAATCTAGAAGACGCAAAGGAAAATCCAGTATTATAATCTCTCCAGCATCAATGTTTATCTCTAGATAGATACCAAGATAGACATTACTCTATAGATATTCTACTATCTCGCCTTCTGCGATCCCACACCGGAGCGGAGTAGATAAGTGGCCAGTAGTAGCAGTAGTTTCGGCAGCGGTCCGGAGCGAAGCCAAGATAAAAAAGAAGTCTTAGGCACCCGTCCGCATTCTATTGGCCGTGGTGCTTCTATGCAATGCAACCCTAGAACTACTAGAACTACTATGCGCAAGAATCCCGGCTCCGGCGATAGCGTTTCTTTTTGCAGCAGCCATGGGCGTTCTGCAACAAGCTCCATACGTAACAGCAAGTCTAACAGCAAGTCTTTTTCCTTAATGGACACGCATAAACTTGGAGTGCATACATATGGTGCGTAGTAGTAGTGTATGCACCTAAGTAGCTTCACCTTGCTAATAGGCGTGCGTATAACTTAGAGGACGAGAAGCAACAGCAGCGTAGGGACCCCACGTTTCATTTTTCGACGGCTGGGTACAATTAGTGAGGTGTCATATGCGGGTTTGGATAACATGGCGTTTTTTATCGTAGACCTCTTAGCCTATGGCGGCATGTCTCGTTTCATATTCTGCCTTGCCTTTCTCTGTTCTCGCAAGCCATGCCATCATCATTCCGTTTTCTTAGAGACTTGGTTTTTCGTATTAGGAAGCAGATGGGGTTAAAGCCGACCCGATGGTTTTTAATCATGTATCCGTAATGAGCTGACGATACGTAGATGAATGGGCTTACCTAAAAGAAAGAAGATAAAAACCACTGTTGGTAGCACTTACAGGATTCCACATACATTTAGCCGTCTCATCCTACCCGTAAGACGCAAGATCTGTCTGACTTGGAAGCTTGTTACTTACTATGCAGCTAGTTAACAGTAAAAAATCTATAGGTTTCCATAATATTTATTTTCTTCAGCTCCATTCCTGATACCGCCGAGGTAATTACCTCATCTGGGGACCTAAGCTTATACGTCTATATGTACATACATATACAGAACTACTAGTCATGTACATAATATGCAGGTCTGTTAGGCGGTTGCAGTAGTGTGTAACTACGTAAATACCTGATCTAAGAGCATCGAAATAATTGTGTAGCTACACCGAGACAGACTTTTCTAACGAAAAAAAGAAAAGGTAGAATTATATAAATAGAAAACAAACTTCGACAAAATATTCGATGCAAGTGGCACTTGTAGGGCTATGCGGCCTTTACGGGTCTGGTCCCGGCTTGTGTTACGAGAATTATACCTCTCAAAGCATAGCCCTCATACGTGGTCCTCCGTCGAAATAGTATACTTGACCGAGACATTGAGCATGCCACGTAGGTAGTTTGTTGTGCTACGGATTTAGATGGGATATGGGAGTATAATTGATAATCGGTAGAAGTCGGGTTATTTTCACCCGTCGCCAATGTTTCCTTCCTCATTTGGGGTCAAGCAGACAAAGAGATTCGGTAGTCGAAGTTGGGGAGAAAACTAAAAAAATAAAAAATAAAAATAAATAAAAAAAGAAAGAAAAAATTTACGGGAAGAAGCACTTACGGCTGTCCGGATATAAGACAAGCACGTCCAAGGGGTCATTAAAGAGTCACACACGATGCCATTGGCAAGATAGACGATCAAATCAATTCAGATGCACTCCGATCGCCAAACAATCCTATCAAAGTCCTGCCTGCGTTCATGAATTCCCCTCCAAACCCTGGCTGCTAGAAAGTAGTAAAAAGAGAAAACAGAATCGGGGCCAGTATGACTCGAGTTCTTGTCCAGAGGGAAAGTAGTCGGTGCCTTGCCTCTTATGTCGAGGACGGGCCCTTGTCCGCTGTCGGTGTATCTGTCTATATTCCGGACCTCAAGAATTTTCTGGACTGTAAGAGGCTTCTTCTGCCCCGGATAGGCTAGAACTGGAACCCTATATGGGCGTCTCTTAGTCTAGCTGTTCCAATGCTACCTCACTTAGGCGGTATGCTTCCGCGCGTAGTTGATTCATTCTGAATCCTATCCACTTGTGCTATCACAAGCGCACATGTCTAAAAAATCGCCTATTACGAGAAATGCAGATGTCGTGGAAAAGGTCCAAAAATGACATATCCTTATGCCTTCCAATGCTTGTTGGAGCTTGTTGTTGTTGCAGCCTGTAGTGATGCTGAAGGAACGAAGGAGGAAATGCCATAGGGCTTGTCCAACTAAACGACATTATAGAATTAAGCACTTGTGAGGCTTCTTCTTCGGCGCCGGAGGCTCTAGTGCTGCAACGATGGCCTAGGAATAGTTAGAATTTGGGTAGCTTGTCCAACAGGGAAACGACAAACCTCGTCGAATACGTCCTTCAGCTTGTACTGAGTGAGAGCGCTACACTCTACGTACTTGACCGCACCGAGTTCCTTGGCCATTCGTTCCCCATCTTCCTTGCGCACCGGCTGCATCTTCTGCTTGGCAAGCTTCTCCCGAACGCTGGCGTCATCTCTCAAATCTGTCTGGGTGCCGACGATGAGGCAGGGTACGCCAGGGCAGTGGTGATGAACCTCGGGGAACCACTTCTCTCGAACGTTCTCGAAGGAGGCGGGCGATGTGACGCTGAAGCACACTAAGAAGACGTCGGTTTGCGGGTATGATAGGGGTCGTAGACGATCGTAATCTTCTTGACCGGCGGTATCGAATAATCCAAGAGTGTAAGGCTCATCTCCTATCCTACAAGGGAAGGAAAGTCAGCCTCGGTCCATGCTGACTTCAAAAGCCTACTTTATAATCCAATTGACCATTTGGCCAGCACATTCTGAGCCCACCAGGGGTCGTAGTTTGAACAGGAGCACGACTCGAAATCTCGTATTGGAACTCACATGACCGTGACTGCATAGTTGTCGAAAACCGTGGGTACATATTCCGAAGGGAACTTGTTGGTTGTGTAGCTGATGAGCAAGCAAGTCTTGCCAACGGCACCATCACCAACAACCACGCACCTGCAAGTAGAACCGAGATATTAGCAATTTGCCATATTGTCGCGGGGTGCGTATAGTATTAGACGAGCACAAAAGTAACGACGCGTGGCATACGTCTGAGAAGCAAGGTGGAATATATGCGTATGAAACATGAAGAGTCGCACGCCACGGAGACATGTCTATAACGCAGTCGCGCCTTTCCATCACAGGAATAGATAATGATGCAGCAGATTAGGAGAATAAAGAAAGTAATATTGACTAACTTGATTGTTGCAACAACCATGTTGACTTGCTAAGCTCCTTTGCAGGAGCAGGAACGATATGTTGATGTCCCTGATTAAGAAGCTGTCTTATCGCGAGCTGTCTTGAAATGTCGGCAGGTATCGGCCGTTTTTGACTCGCAGGAGAGAAAAAAGGCGTCGGGGAAGAAGAAAAAAAGAAGGCAGAGGGGTTAGTTTGAGGCTTGGAGGGGACGATGTCTCAAGTCTAAACCTCGATAGGTGCCGGCGGTGAAGGGAAAGACTAGGAGGCTGGAGGCTGGAAGTTAGATGCTGGATGCTGGATGCTGGAGACTCGGCGCGAGATGCAATATCACAAAGAGAATTGTAAATGGAAATCGAAAAAGTATCGGCGGATGAGAAAGAATCGAGGACGACGGGACGGAACAGGGCAGGGACTGAGCTCAACGAGATTGGCAGGCGGCAGACCAGGTCCAATGCAGTGCAAGTGCAGGTGGGAATTTCAAGCTGGGGGTTGGTCTTGGTCTTGGTCGGCAGGTGCAGGTGCTGGTGCTCTGGTGATTTTCTATTCCCTGAGGCTTGCCCGGCTTGGGGGTGTGCTTTGCCAGGTAAGTCTGCTTCGGGGGTGCGATTGGGGTGCGATTGGGGTGTGAAGCGGCGCGGAATTGCAGGTGGGCTTAGGGGAGTTTTTGATTTGACTTGCACTTGCACTTGCACAGACTCATGTTACATGTACGGATTAGTAGTGCGTGCATGTAGTAGATAAAATGGTACGTACCTCCCCTTTTTGATCTTAATTTCTTAGAAATGCCCCATACAGCTTGACAGGAGCTATGGGGACATGCAGCTAAAGGATCGATTCGTCTAGGGAATCTGCTACGGATCTACATTCATCACTTATCACACCACATGGAGCAAGGCAAATTGACTGGATCATAACTATTCGTTTATGTATAGCTTCTGACCAATACCCCCCTGCTGTGTCATTAATAACGGATAGAAAAAAACGTGAATAAGATAAAGAGAATGATGACAAAAGAGGGCAGTCCTTTTTTGAAATCCATCGTCTCACCACTGCATTTACAGCTATCGCTAATATGGCATCGACGAGAGCCAGGACCAGGATATGCGCAATGCTTTGTATACCTTTATGCCTGAAGGGGATTCGGGAAATCAACAAGGAGCTAAGAGGGTCAATGAATCATTTTAGCAATTGTTTACTATCGTGTCATTATTGATGTCTCCGTGTTATCGACCCTAGGCTTATTACATTATTACATTATTACATACACGTGAAGCATAATAATACCGTACATTTTGGGTTAGTTTGGAGCCGACTAGCTTAATTGATCCGGCGCATACTTTTTCTGCCCCGTGCCTTTTCTCATGCGTCATCAGGGTCCTTCATGACGACGTAAGGTGAGAAAAAGGATACTTACAGCTGCAAAGTCGCAGATGAGGCGAAGACCCTCCCACCCCTTTTCTAGAACAAATCTACGCAACGAGCCTTACGTTGATAACAAACCAAAAAAGCAAACTTGGTTTCGCCTCGTCTGTACAGGCACACAGAGCTGAGAAGCTGAGATTATTGATATAGTTCCAAGGTTTACATTCAACATCTACCCAACCTACACCTAACCTAGGTATTACATACGTATAATCAGGACCAATCTGCATGCAACCTGCAGTGATACGCAACGAACCAGCAGTTAATAGACGCAAGGCGGAATAATTCGACGCGACTATGTCTGCAATATATACTCGGAGCGAGACTTGCATCCCCGACACATAAACATTCACCTAGCCGTGTCTCGTCGCAAAATTGATCTAGTTGCTCTGTCCCAAGTTAAGTGCATGCGCGTTCGGAGTAAGGCAAGAAAAAGAAGGAGGATGCATTAGGTACACAGCTCTTGTGTAGGTAATCAAGGTAATTGAATATAGTGCCCGTGGCGAAGCAGTCGATCAAAGGGTTTGGGGTAGGGTATCTGCAGCTACAATTGGTATAATTTTCACATCTAGATCATACGAAGACCTCTTCGTACGCGCCCCGGACGAGGACACTTGTACTACGTGGCAGTAGTGCAAGGCAACGGCTAGACGATCTTGATCTTGCGATTGGCGTTGTAAAAGAAGCCTGTCAATCACGACACATGACGTTTGGAAGCACAAGAGATAGATGTGTATAACCCTCATGGTCTTTCGAGAGGTCTCCCTGTGATGCCTCGTTTGTCCTTAGGATTTGTCACGGCACTTCCGACTTCGAAGACTGCGGCTATAGTAGCTAAATAGCCGTCTCCGTATATGCCTCGGGATCGACTGGATGACGGCATGGGAATTGTGGAGGGAAGAAAAGCAAACAAAGTTGTGAAGGGAGTCCAAACAACCCTGCTTTCAAGTTCAAACGTCAATCTTCGTGGAGCTTTGGATACTTGGTTCGAATCCTTCTCTCGCGTCTTGTCCTTAGGCCAGTTGGATCCTCCGGTAGGGCTCGCAATGAACGGTGTGTTCTGCAGATAAGAATGAGGCCAAGACAGTTTGCATATGCCAGTTGTAAGAGCCACATAAAATTACTTGGTACGATTTCTTAGAAAGCAGTTTAATAAATGTAAAAGATTCTGCGAGTTGAATAAGTAAAAACAGCTAAAGTACCTGGGTGGTACGAAGTAGTATTTACCCCTAAATAACTACCTGTCAAGCCACCTTTTAGCTAAGTGTGGCGTCGCTGGCTTACTCAACTTACCGTAACTTCAACTTCACTGTCTTAATGTTGAAGTCCACGAATATTCCCCCTTTTCTGAAACCTGCAATATCTCTCCTCTAAAACGGTCGAAGGACAGCTCTCTTTTCCACCATGGAGGTCGACCACATTGACAAGCTCCTAGAGCGCTATCTTCACCTCCTCCACGAATACACGACGCTCAGAGAGCAGCTCAGCAGCTTGCAAACAGGCATATATCAGAACATCGCACGTGCCAACTTTGCCGCCGAGCGAGGAATGCGGTTTGGCCAAGAATACTACGACGAGCGCATGCAGGCCTCTAGAAAAGTGGCTATCACTCTGGGCGGCGACCAGGATGTCCCCGCGTTTGCCGTCACTGCCGGGAGTACGGAAGCTGGGCTGGCCCAATCGGAAAAGGGGGCTGCTACGGATGACGGCACCAGGGACGCGAGTAAAGAAAAGGAAAAGGAGGAGGAGGCTCGCGAGTCTCAGAAGGGACAGCAGAAAGACCCGCTGAGATGGTTCGGACTGCTAACGCCCATGCCTCTACGGCAAGCGCAGGCGCAAAGCATCCAGGCAATCGAGCAAGTCATCCCCAAACTAGTCTCTGTAGATGCTCAGATGGCCCAGGTCGAAATTGAAGTCCGTAGAGCCCGGAAGAAGCGCGCTAAGGCCGAGGCGGCGGCGGTCAAACAGGAGCAGGAGGTTAGCGCCGGCGCTGGCGCGGAGATTACGGCGTGATCTCGGTGTCAAAACACAATAGGAAGTATCTTACGTATAAAAGTCATGACCTGGCAGCACGCAGCCTCTCATACACGTGTCCGTAGCAAATTTCTTTATGGCAGCTAAGTCATGGATGCATGTGGTTAAATACAAGTCAAAGGAGTTACGAATTAGATCTTACTAGTCAGTAGGCTGAAACGCAGATCTATTACTTCAGGAACAAAGAAAGACGCGCAAACGTAAAGCCTTGGAGCATGTGAGCTGAGGAGAGGCTCCGGAAAAAGAATTAGTTCTATATGCCACGTCTAACCTAGGTCTAATACAGTATCTACCAAATCTTAGGCTAATATATTCCTCCAAAGGAGAAAGAAATGGAAATACGCTCGATATTGGTACAGCGCTCATCCAGGGTATCCAAACAGAACAGTCACAACGACGATATCTACATGGGTATCATATCGCAGTTTATACGTAGGTATTCAAGCATATGCAGCCCATCCTACATAGTATCCCGTTAGAACATGTAAAACCGCAAAAGAATGGCCTGAGTTTAGACTTACCAGAATACAAAAACGCCAAGTTCCGCTCGTCGGTAGCTTGGTTGATCAAATCGTTGACGGTAGCCGTCACGCTCAGCGTCTTGCTCAGCTTCTTGCGCACGACCTCGAGCGCGCGATCTGCCTCGCTAGGCTCGTTGACGACGCCAACGGTGCCGGCCGCCTTTTTCTTCTTGGAGTCGATATCGGCGTCGGCGCCGTCGACCTCCTCGTCGCGCCGCGTGTCCTGCAGCTTGGCCATGCGGACCGGGCTGATGGACCACGAGTACAAGGGATCGTAACGCAGCACGTCCAGGATCGTCATGATGGAGTATGTCTCCTCGCGCAGCGCGTCCAGTGTGAACTCGCAGCACCGCCGGAACACGCCTTCCGTCTTCGTGATGCCCATGCCGTCGACGATGTCGCGCGTTAGCCGGAACGGCACGAGTTCGGGAACGGGAAGTACGCGGCCCATTTCGAAAGCCACGCCCAGGTCTATGTGCACCACCTCGCCGGTTTTGGAGTCGAGGAGGATGTTATGGCCGTGGCGATCGCCAAGACCTAGAATGTGGCCTAGGATGGAAATTGCTGCTGTGGTTCGCGTATACGCCGTGCGTTTGGCGAACCATTCGTCCGGATCGACGAAGTGCTCCATGAAGAAGTAGCGCATCACAGGTTGGAACCGATCGGTGACCTTCTTATACGTGGCTACACGTGCATCGGCTGATTTGTTTTGGACTTGGGAAATCTCCTTGCGGCATTGCGAACCTTTGAGGTCCTTCGGATGGTACCGCTCGTGAGCTGGCATGAGGTATTCGTGGAGTGGTATGGTGTTTGAGACGAATTCGATAAGTCCAGAAGCAGCCGTTAGCGGCAAGACTTTGTATGTTCTGATGCCAAGACTGCGTTGCTGGGTAGATCGGTGATGTTTCAATACGGACGATACGGCGGCGAAGACCTGTTCCATGATGGCGTCTTGGCGAAGATCATCGTTGCCGCCTTTTACGAGCTGCTTAAAACGTTCTCCGTTAGTACCCACCACCGTAATGATCTTTGGCGCGCTGACACCGGAAGCGATAGACATGTTCGGTTCGATCTTGGCAATATACGGGATGTGGCTATAGTCTCGGCTAGCCGAGAGTTCTATTTGCATCGTAGGAGGTGGTATTTTCCATTTCGCTAAAGCAGTTGCAAGGCCAGAACCGCCAGTTGAGTCCTTGACGGCGACCTTTTGCCCTGCCTTATAGCGCGAAGGATCCCGTTCCACCGCCAGCATGTGATATGCTTTGCTCGTTTTGTCGATGGCAGCCCATATAGTTGACACCGACTCGGTTTGGGCAAGTCTCTTGCCAACCCTGTCCGTAGCTTTCTGGCGCAATACGGCCACGTCGTCTTTTGCGTTTGTGCGGGACTTCACCCCCGACCATATTTGATACATCCCGTGGTAAGGGTGGTCAACGCAGATGCGATAAATGAGCTCAGAAAGCAGGCTTTGAAATGTGCTCTTTTGGTCGATCAAGCGCGAAGTAAGTTGATTCATCAGCGTCGCGAATTTTCGGGTTGCAACCTTGTCGATATGTTTCATGACGGCCTGGTTAGTAAATTCTTCAGTTGACCGCTCGAGCCACAAGGCTGTGAATCTCAAAGCGTCGTTGTTATGATCGTCGCAGGACACAAGAGAGAGAAGGTAGTTTTCTAAACTCAACCTGATGAATTCTGTTCGGCTTTGCTCCACACGGCGCAATTCCTGCTCGTCCAAGTCGAGCCATTGCCTTGCTTTAGTAAGGTGGCTATTGTACCTTGACTTCATTTGCGAGTCTCTCGTACTGGAAATGAGACCCTTGAGCTGTGAGACCTCGTCGCTTTTTCCTTTCCTCAGATGTTGCAGGCGAGCCAAGTCTTCAAGCCCATCTGGATTTTGCAGTTGTTCGTCGCAGAACATGGCAAACTGATGGTAGACCTTGCCGGCTTCTCGGCTGTCGGTCTTACCTCTAAGTTCCTTTAAAGCAGGTTGCAGATATTCTCTCTGGATGGTCTCCGGCTTTTCTAACTTTGCCACGGATATTTGATATCCAGTCTTGGCAAGTAAATCTGGCCGGCTGATAGGAATAGTTTGCTTCTTGAGATTTGGGTCCTCGTCGATGCTTTGAAGCATATGAATAGAAGATGTCATCTCGCCATGATCCCATAAGGCGTCAGCTGCTTCAAATTTTGCTACGGAATCGAGATGCAACCCGAGATCTGCACTGGGCGTCACCAAGTCCGTAAGAGACGTTGCGATATTCAATGACTCCTGGGTAGCTCGGTGATGTCTATAAATGCTTGACGATAATAGCATAGACTTGATCTGCGCTAATGTGGCTTCTGGTGCATTTATCTTTGCCATACCGCGGCGCTGAGATGTTTGAGCTAACACGCTCAATGTCGTCTCCCGGCAGGATAAAATTTGGCTGACATCTTCATACCTGTGGTTTTGTTAATAACTGTGCACAGTAAAGCGCGAGGTGCCACATACCGTCCGCTTTTCATCCACCCGGAGCGATCTGTAAACGTTGTTAGGACTCTGTCCAGCTCAGTCGACTCGGCAATCTCAACCACGTCATTAAGCTCTGCTAGAACGGCTAACGTACTCAAATGGTGACGTAGACGAACAGGCGTGAGATCCTTTTTAACCACGCTTCGCATCGTTTCGCTGAAACTATTGTGAGTAGTACTCCTCGCGGGGCCCAGCTCGGTAGCCTGTTGCCAAGTCTGATAGGCTCTATACAAAGTAACAGAGGGATTATCAGTAGACGTCGGCGCTGGTAAATTCCAGATTTCCAGTCGCCTAGCCGTGTTAAATGTGCTCTCTACGGTGGTAGATGAGCCATCCAGGCTCTGCTCCGTCTGAAGGAGAGAATGTGACAACCCCGACAACCCGAGGTTACCTAATGTCCCTACTAGGGATCGGCCGTCGATATTGGCGGCCGGATCTCTTCTCCGGATGTGGCTATCATATTGTGCGCCACGGAATGCTAAGCTCATACTACCATTTTTTTCGTACTCGAGTCGTGCCAATACGTTACTCAGACTTGAAGTATGACTAAGGCCGTAATATGCGTCTGGATCATCGATGTTCTCGAATATGTTCATTAGGATATCCGTGGAGTCCTGAGCCCGGACAGCAGATGAACGACGGGAAGCTCGTGACCCCTCGGTCGATGTCATCTCGACAAACAGCAACGCTGTTTTGAACATGCCGCATTTTGCAGCAGCTGAGGCAACAGAAAGAAGATCAAGATCAAGCCATTGGCCTCTATCGGCTATGGAGTTCTCCCCTGGTAACTGCTGGGTTCTTAGATATAGAAGAGCGTTTATGAAAAGACTCATATTTTCTTTAGCTGCCGGTGACTCTAATTTGAGCCAATTCTTAAGCGCGCCTGACAGGCTGCGTTTGATGGACTGCTGCTTTTCCTTTTCAAATAGGAGGACTAGGTGGATAATATACGGGAAAGCTTGCTTAGAGAAGCCCTTTACATTAGTAAGAATTGGGGGTAGAGCATTGAGAATAATGTTCTCCGGGTATGATTGTGCGAGATATACCGCAACACCCTGAGCCCACTTTGCCTCTTCGAATGCTTTGCTAGAGAGGACAAAATCTTCTCGAACAAGGCTAATAGGCATATTGTCAGATGGTGGCGTTCGATATGGCGTCCAGTCCGATGTTGCGAGGAGTTGATCAGACAAGACTTTCTGACAAGCTATAAGCAAGTTGTTGTCGCCTTGAGCCGCAGCTTCTGATACAATTGTTCGCAAGGCCGATTCTGCGAGACCTGCCTTGTAACAGTCACTATCAGACGTCAAAGATTGCAAGAGACTAAGAAGACCATGTTCGGATCCAGATGCGTCCACCGATGCGTTGAAGTATCGTGACAACTCGGACTCTCGGAGTAGGTCCTGCTCGACGAGGCCGGACGCGGCAAACCCCCTGCCGACAACACGGCCTGCCCAAGCAAGATACTCGTTGCTTAGCCCTTGTGCCTGACAACTTTTCCACACGACAGGAGCCCAGGTCGATGCTTCTTCGTCGGAGCTGATTACATCAACGCTGCGAGAAGTGGGAATTGTGAAGTGACTACATAGCATTTCCAATGCTAACTTGCGGGAGGGTTCGTTTAGTAGCTGAGCTCCGTGTACTCCGTCCTGGAGGATTTCTAGTAGAAGTTTGCTTTCGTGAGTGCCTCGCTCCGCATTCCCGGACGATCGAACGTGGGCCGCGCAACTCGTAATGGCTTCAAAAGCAGCACGGTGCTCGCTGTCCTGGAGGAAAGGAGACTCGTAGTCTTCCAGGTATTTCGTAAACCACGAATGGAATTTTTGAGCTTTATTCATAGTAGCTTTGAATTGACTTTCTTGTGTTGTACTGGACTGGCTGGTCTCTAGAAACACGCGCAAGGAAGCAAGCGCAGACAGAGCATAGCCGGCAACGAATGAAGGCGATTGCGACAATGGTTCCGAACCTTTCTCTAAGAGGTACTGACTCATGCCGAGCGCATCATCTGCGCATTCTGTATCGACGATGAGTGGACGTATAGATTGTAGAAGCATCTCTAAAGGATACGATTCCCAAGCATGTTGGCCCGCTAGGCAGATGAGAACCCTGACCTTTCGAAGAACGGAGCAAGTATGCAAGGGACCCAATGCCGAATGGACACCATTAAGCAGCTTCCTAGCGACACTAACCACAAGTGCGGGCGTCCAGAGTGCGGATATCTCGTATTCTGTTCGGCTACATAGTAGTGATATTTCTCTGGTTAGGTATTTGGCCCGGAACATTGGCTGCTGATTTGGGGATAGGCCGACTTCAGAGTGACCGCACTTCTTAATCTCCGCCATTGCCTGGGCGGCGTATGCAAAGCTCTTATCTCTAGCCCACGACTCCTCAACTGGATTTTCTTGATCGATAAGGCTGAAGAATAGTCCGATGATATCGGCAAAGTTAATATATATTGCCTCGAGAAATGCTTCTCGGCCGAGGATTTTGCGCAATCGACTTTCGCCACTCCGCTGCTGCTCTGCTTTGGGCATACTAATATCGTGGGCCATACTATATGCGATAATTCTTGAAAAATTGCGTCGAATAAGTTGTGATGGGCTGTCACCAAGAGTCGCAGCTAACCTTGCGGCTTCGTCGTCCTGTCCTCGCATCACCATCAAGGCTACTACCTCGGATTGAGCACGTTGTAGTAACTCCTTAAGAGTTGAGAAACCGAATATCATGAACGGTATATCGTCGATGCTCTTGATTTCGAGCCAGGTGTAAAGGAGCTGGGGAGCAAACAGATCGAACAGCTGTTGTGTATTTTCAAGATTCAGCGAGGCTGATATGCTATCAAGGCAACGTGCTGCATGTCGTTTCGAACTGGGAATCTCACCGGGAATCTCAAAGATATGATAAATTCCACGCCGGAGGAGGGTAGGCCACTCCCGTGCTAGCTCTGCGAGTATAAACAGTCGCAGGGCTATACCCTCGAGGAAATCGGTTTTGCTTGGGAGAACTTCGAGGACGTCAACTAGGACCTCGTCGTGGGATTTCAGGGTATATCTGCCAAACAGGGTTGGCAAACGAGATCCAACGTAGTACTTGACAGGTATCGCTGCGCTGCCTAGTATGCTAAGTAGTGACGAGCTCGGAGGCTCCATCTTGATTGCTTCTGTGTATTTCTCGTTGAGTTGAATTAAACGAAGAAGTAACCGGGCCAGCGACATCTGAATGCTGGACGAAAGCATGTTATTTTTCAGTCCAGCATTGAGAAAGTAGTGATACAAATCACCGACGCGAGAGGATATCTCGCCATCGCTATCAGACCAGATAGGCATCAAGCCTTCCATCACGTCGAGACATATATTCAGAGCAACCTCACAACTTGAAAAGGCCGCGCTACCGATTAACTCGCCCATTCTACCAATAACTCTATCGGCATCGTCGGGATTTATGATGAGATCAGAATCGAATAGCTCTCGGGCTAAACAGCGGCAGGTGAGGAGCTCTTCGTTGGACAATTCTAAGAAGTCATTGAGAAATGACGCTGGGATCAGCCCGATTTGACCATGATCCCCATACAATACATCGAGGAGACGCAACCTTTGAATGGTATCGGAATGAAAAGTTACCGCTTGTAAAGCAACAGTAGCCTCATGTCGAGATACTTCGGGTGATTTTGATGACGTATTTGATCGATGCTCTTTTGATTCAAAATCGTCATCAAGGTCCATGAAATCGTCGTCATTACCGGACGATTGACTGTCATTTCTCTTCCGAAAAGCACCAGACAGTTCGAAAAAGAAACGGTGAAGATATGACCATTCCTTTCCTAGCTTACCCAACTCGGCGGTCGACAATGCGGGCATGTAAGACCGAACCGATGTGAGGAGGCAGTCATACAGTACTTGGCTCTCGTATGAGTTCGAGACACCAGCTAAGGCAGTTTGAAGGATCGAGAACAGGGAATTTTGAACCTCTTGCGATGGCCTCGAATTTACCTCGATTATTTCCGGAAGGATAAAGACACCAACAATCAAGGAGGAAATAATGCTCTGGAGTTTCTCCGGGGTGATCTGAATAGACTGATCTTTCTGTTTATCCCAGGTTTCACATAGAGCTCTGATATCCTCTAGCTTTGAGTAAAAGAGCTCCGCTACGAGCTTTTTTGTACCGTGCGAGTTCGCAGTATCACCGACTTGTGTGACTGGCGCTAAGGATGGCTGCTGGCTGGGGATCGACGAAGAATCAGGAACACCAGAGTCTAAAAGAAGCAGATATCTGATTAGGCTCTCGCGGCTCTGGAGTAGACACAACGTCTCCCCAATTTGTCCCGAGATCGTTTGAGATGGCCGAGATAAGGTTAACTTTGCATCTCCGTAAGCTGCTTTCATTAGGTTGATAATATCCACTGGTTTAACATGGCTCGAGTAAGATGATATATAGGCTGCATCGGCTGCGGTGATAGAATTGTTAGTTTAGGCTGAAAATTTAGCTGTCTATTCTCACTTACTAGGATCCCACCTGAAAAATACCCAGCGAACAACGCAGTTACAGGTTGTGTAACTGGCGCTCGGAAGTTGAAAGTTTCGAAGGTGAAGAAGTGTTGTCATTAGTATGAGCGAAGAATCTACTACGACAGCTGGACCATTTACATCGGCGGTCGTAATCATGCTGTTGATGTCATCGGCAATATCGCGATACGGCACTAGATTATGAGTTATGATGGAATGTAGTAAAACACTCGAGGCTCGACAGTTCGTAGTCATAGTGACAGAGCGTACTGTAATCTGCCATATCTGCTTCCAAATTGCGGACAGGGTGTTGTCGGTGGCGCTGACTTGAGGAGTTAGACTGCTTGAGAGTTAGTATAACATATCTGCGAAATATTAATAGGACTGACCTTGCGCAAGCAATCATAGCCCACGTAGCCACTTTGCTATTCTTGCTGGTGATTTGGCTCACCAAGAAGGACAGAAGCTCCGACATTTCATCGATGTTAACCTTGAGACCTGACACAAAAAAAGGGGTGATTTGTAAAGCAGTGTATTGTATTGAATGATCATTGGAACGTAATTTCTGGCGAAGCCGACTGAAGCCCGAGGCTGTCCGTCGTTTCTTCCGTGGTTGTTCATCATCGGCTAAGGTTGTTTGCGATTGCTCAGACGCCCTCCATAACAGTCGTTCAAGAAGCGCTAGAATATGCACAACTGCCCAAGTTTTTTCGCCTTCAACATTGAATAACCGCAAAGAAAAGGACTGCACTTGAAAAGTTGTGCTGCTGTGGGGTGCAGAGTATGTCAAGTCGTCTTGTTGAAGCTGGGCGCGTTCTTCTCGTCTGGAATATTCACTCCATAACAACTCCGCGAGAGTTTCAATGTTACCGAGGAGCGAGGGCTTATCGCCTTGCTTGATTAAGAACTCGAGTTGAAGATGGATATTAAATAGAAGCTTTAGCATTTCAACTCGGACGCCGTTTAGAAGCGCATCATGTGCAGATGCAGCCTTCGTTTGCCACCATTGGCTTACCAACGGTAGGCAATCCAATGCCAATGAATTCGCGTGATCAGAATCATCGGTCTGAGAGGCTACGAACAGCTTGTTGACCAGGGCAAATGCTAACTGATGCAACGGACCTATTCCAAGAGGACGGAGTTGGAGAACTTGAACTACAACGGATGACATCTCCTTCGCGCGCTGTAATAGAGGCGCATTCGGGGTGGATGAAAGACAAAGAAGGCATTGTAGAAGATCCGGTAGCTGACTACGCGAGAGTCGGCTGGTTCGTTGGGATGCGGTCCCAGGTCTCGGGGTCGAGAATGTGAGAGGCGTCGAGTGTCCCGATCCGGGTGCCGGTGAAGCCCGCGAAAGAACCGAGTCTCTATCGTTGGCCGCCAGATATAAGGTCAAGACATCAACAGCGAAGTCAACGCACGTGAACCAACCTTCGCCGCCACCCGTAGCAAGAAGCTCGACGTTAGCGGCGTGGCTTAGGAGAGCAGCCAGCGCTTTGATATAGTCCTGAACCAGCGGCGGGACTAAGTCATCTTCAGAGTGCGGCAGCGTCTGGGTAATGTGGTCAATCACGGCGATGACAGTCTTTCGCTTGATCTTGCCTGCACCTAGCTCGACGCCAAGACGCAGCGCCTCCGCGCACTTGGTAAGCCTGCTAGCAGCGGTGCTCTTATGACTATAGTAAGCCTGCTTTTCAGCTAGGGCACAACGGAAGAGCGCCTCAAAGGTGATATGATAGCTCTTGTCATCTAATGTCGAACTAGACTCTGTCAGTTTAAGAACCGAGAAGCTATGCTGTTGTTACTCACAAGTTGGAAGCTTTCGTTTGCTCTTTGAATATATGAATTAGATCTACACGAATCAATATTGCTATTTTATCATCCGGACATAAGGCTATTGGCAGTCTTACCGTCCAACCCAGAGGAACGGGATGTGCTGTTACTACTTTTGACAGCGACTATTTTTTATCTTAGCATTTTTTTTAGTTCGTCTTTCGCGGGAAGCATAACTTACTTCGGGCATCATCCATCGTAATCTGTCGAGCCTTTTGTCGAGGTGCCATCTTGCCACTTTTGCGCCATGCATTCACTTTTCTATAGTAACCCGATACTTAGTTGGGAGAAACGGAAGAGGGCATGAGGATAGAGTATGGAGTCTCTTGCTCTGGCTGTCTGGGGAACTGGGCGGTAAAGCCACACGTAGGCTTAATAGCCAAATATGATATATGCAATTACTTCATTCCAAGGCCAGACGTAGACGTATATTCTCATATCGATTAATGAGCAAGCAAGAAGAAATTGACCGAGTTGGGTTGAATCGCAAGCATGAAGTCCGGCATTAGTTACTGACCTGAATTTTTATCTGTAGGGCGAAAAGTAACGCGACGAGAAAACGCAAATAAAACCAAGGTCCGGGCTCGCTGATCGCTTTTACTAGACGTATCCAATCTATGTAACTTGCTGGCCCCTTTAACATTGAATTTATTTTATCTTCTTCTTGTCAAGGCAGCAAGTGCATGTAGTCTATTGAGGCGAGTTGCTAAGATCCATCTATGGATGTATATCGAAGGTATGAGAGAGCTGAGCTTTGTTTATCATGTACCTAGGTACTCGAGTACTTACCAGGGGAAACAACCAGTTGCATGTGGTAATGTGGGTACCTTACCTTACCTTAGCTTGACACGTCCAGCATCATTTTCTCGTGGAATTTGTAAAGTTGACTTTCGCGCCCCTCCGTACCGCGGATGAACTAAGCTTCTTAACAACACATCAAGCTAATCAGCGGTGCATACCCGTTGCGTCGCAAAACATCTTCCTCCTAGTACCCTGCGCGACGATGCGATAGAAACCGAGAGTACGAACAATGGCGGACGATGCTACTACGATTCAGGACGCTTTCCGGGAATTGCACAGGGAATTGACCAACGTAGCCCAAGTACTGAAGGAAGACCGAGAATCTCAAGGACCACTCTTATTATCCCAACTTGCTCAGACGGGGTCCCTAGAAATCCTTCGTGACAGCTTCAAGCAATTCCTGGGAAAACCTGCGAGGAAAAAAGAAAGCCGGGATGCTATATTGTCAGGTGAGTGTGGTCTCGTTCTGTCTAGGCCTAGGTAGCTTCGCTACTTTGCTACTTTGCTACTTTATTAACAATTAATACGTAGGAAAAATTAATATTCTCGACGATGAGTATTCCTTAAATAAGGACTTCCAAGAAATTGTCTTGCAAGTCGCCGACGGCCTCGATTTAGACGAGCTCGAAGCAGCCAAGCTGGTCATCCTCTCGAGAGACGACGAGACTATACTCGGGCGCCCGCTGAGAGAGTGTGCTGTTATAAGGTTCCATACGCAGAGAAATACCCTCCTTAACTGCATGCTGCTGCTCCTACAGCTTTCCAAAGAAGAGGATGAGCTGCTTGCTGAAGATGTTGGTGATGGTCTTGGGTATCTTGGCCAATATGTTAGCGAGAACATCCTTCGGGAAAACTTACCGGGGATTACAAACGAGCCCTCTCAACCTAGGTTCGTCCCTAGGTGTATGGCTTCGATGCGCGATATCAGGACCTGGCTCCAGAATCTCTCTGAGCAGGTCGCAAGCGCTTCGGTACTAGGTCGCGTGGGCGACGCCCAATTTCAACAGCTCCTTGAGGTAACATACGTAGGCCTAATCCAACAGCATGAACTCCTTTCGGTCATTCTCTGCCACGCAATCGAAAAGCACGTAGCGGTTGAGAATGACTTCGTCGACTTTCTCCAGGTTCTGAAGCAGATCAATAGATACGACTCGTGCACCGGTAAGTTTCTTCGTTATCTATTTTCTTTTGCTCTACCTCCCTCCCTAGGAGTGCAAAGGCTATTGATAAAGGATTACGCCATCGCTAACTGTTGGCAGTACATCTCGTACCTGTGCTCGGCAGTTACATAGCGATTTTTGGCTCGACAGAGGGCAGCGGCAATGTCGAGCAAGCCAGAAAGTTGAACCAACTCGTTTGCCAGCCGGATGATAATGCACGATCCTTACCTTTCCTCAATGCTGCTGCCAGGGCCTGGTGGATCGCTGAATATAGCGGGTGGTACATGGAAGATGCTGCCGGTTCGGGTCTTCCCGGTGTTGATATTGATGAAGGTTAGAAACTCCCGCCCCCGTTTCGCACCCGCTGAGGCAACTAATAAATCAAAAGAGGACAAGCAGAGGTCACGGCAGTTCGCTGAAGCACTAAAGGATGGCGCTTTTGATTTCATGCTGGCGGTTGTCGCCGATGTTAGGGCTTCCGAGTGGGAAGATAGTGCCCGGAAATCTTTACGGCAGTGGCTTCGAAAAAGAACCCCAACGCTACCCCCGGATACCCTCCCATTTGCTATGCCTCTACAGGAATGCCTCGCAGCAAAGCTAGAGACGTTTGTTGATGCCTTTATATCTAATATGCCCGATGTGCTTCGAAGGTTGAAAATTGAAGAAGACGAGCAGCGGCAAACTAATCAAGCCCAGGAGCAAGACTACGATCTGGAGAGATTCCTTCTCATTATCGCCTACTCTTTCGAGGGTAGACCAGACGCCGCAGACGGTTTCTGGGGCGATCCTGAGAATAACCTGGCAGGATTTCTACAATGGGCATCGCGCAGGGCAACGACACCCGTGCAGGCTGCGTTCTGTGAGATGCTCCAGTCTTTATCCGAGGATCCAGAGTCCGCGACGGCCGCGCATGATTTCCTTCTGGACGAAGGGCATCAGATTCGAAAACCGCTGTCCATCACGTGGTCTCATATCATAAATGAGCTGGAATATTTTGTTAACAAATCCAGAGAAAAGCCCGCCGCAGCCCAAGTTAATGTACACAGAACTGGAAAGTTCAACACCGAACAAGCGGAGACTGAACCGGAATTTGCAGCGATGCTGGAATCTTATTTGCGTCTAATGGCTAAGCTCGCTTCTCAGAGCGAGGTCGCACGCATTTATCTACTCGAGCAGCCAACGTCTAAACTGGTTGAATTGCTCTTTCACGTGATAAGCAGCCAGGTGACATCTCGAATCAGAGCGTGTACCTTTGGAGCATTGGGTTCTCTTCTTAGTCGGAAATCCCTTGCTCAGAACTATGGTATGTGGCAGTATTTAGAAGCGTGCCTCAGTGGAAGTTACCTTCCGCCTACGACGAACAAAGCTCTAGCCTCCGCCGCAGGCTCTCCGCACTCGTCTATCTTTATGGAGGCGCTTTTTCAGGAAATGAGCCCACATGTCGATGACGCCAGCGCATTCATACGATTTCTAGTCAGTTTGACATCTCTCCCGGAAGGATCCGGTCAATTGAACGACGCGCTGCCGTATCCAGAGGATCTCGGCGCGTCTACTCGGATGCGTCCTGGGATCGAGCCGTACATCGACTTTACTTTGGGGCACATGTTCTCCGTTAGGGCTCAAGAAGTTTCAGAAGTTGTACAGCAGAGAATGCTCCGGTTGTGTTGCTTAGACCTCGCACTTACCTGCGTTTCTAGCTTCAACGAGGACTTGATTATATTCAGTCATAATACTACTGTCAACGTGGATTCTGCTATTCAGAGCGGAAGCCTAGAGAACTATGTCACTCTTCACCCATTCGCTAGGGTCATGGAGTGGATGTACGACAGCAGGTTCATGAAGGGCATTCTCGACACGATACAGCAAAACTCAAAAGACATCGAGAGAGCCCCGCAAGATTCGCCTCTCATCAATAGCGTTATACGCGCGGTCGAGCTCGTCTCAAAAGCTCTTGATCTTCAAGCTACCTATTTTGAGATCGTTCGGAAAATGTTAAAGCCACAGGCTCGAGCGCAAAGCCGATCACCATATACGCCGACGTCCAATGGGGCATATGCTTCGATAGAAGACGGCCTCATGAGCAACATGATGTTGATGTCTGACCTGGGTATTTATTGTGGTATAGGCCACCCGGAATTAACATTAGCCAGTCTAAAACTCCTGGAGAAGATATCGTCGTCGCCCAAGGCAATTTCGGCCTGGCATTCCGGATCTCCAAGGCAGCTCCATCGAAACAAGGCGATCATGGCCTTGGAAGAGCGTGGCGACGCAGCCACCATAGCCGGCTCTTTTATTGGCGAGTTTAAAAATCCCTTAGACTTCCGTAAGAAAGATGATTCGCCGGACTACAAAACTAAAGTCTATATTCTCGATTTCATCTACTCTTGCTTACAGGCGAGCCCGGATCGGCCTACAATCGCTCACCTATTCCTCGGTTTTCGTTGCGGGACTAACACGCTCGAAATTGAACCCGACGGCTTATTTCACAAGGAGGCGTCGCTATTTCACGCGTTGCTACCCGTGATTCTGGGCCTTCCGTCGAAGGACGAAGAGGGATCTATGCAGAAATGGTTGGTCAACCTGAAGTATAAGGTGATGCGAATTCTCAGGATACTCTGGAGCTCTCCCCTGTCGGCCAGCATCGTTCTCGAGGACCTCCGAGAAAACGACTTCCTGTTCCATATTTTAATGCAAGGCCTTGTAGCTCAGCAAAGCCTCGTGTGGGATGGGTACGAAGCTCTCGGTCCGGACTTCCTCACGTATCCGGCGGCCGAAGGGTATGTCGATTATCTTTCAATAAGGGCTATGGCGCTTGAGTATATTACTCGCGAGCTTTGTAGCGTCTCTCGTGGCCATACGCCAGCGCTCAAGAGACGGGTATTCGACGCTCTTGGCGGCCAGATCAGAGCCGACGGTCTAGAGGTTATACCCGTATCTTCGGTGTTCGAGTTTCAAGATTCATTGCCCCAGGAAAGCTTATTCACAGCTGCTCCACCCGAGCTCAGGATGTACGGAGAACACGAGTTACGGCCGTGCCTGGAAGAAGATGACGACCTAGTTCGGATATACGACCTGGACAAAGTCCGAGAGATTCTGCTTCTCAAGCGCAACGAGGCTCGCAAATCTGGCCAGCTTGTTCTGCAGCAAGACGTTATGGCTATGGATGCGGAAGAAGAAAGCCTGCTACTGTACTTGAGGTACTTGAATCGGTTCACGCAGGTGAAATCGCGCAGCCTCAAGGTTCTGGCAAATTGGACGAAACTCTTGATGGTGATGACCGACTGCAATGACTTCAAGGGTACAAACAAGGTCTCGTTCATACTACAGACCCTACAAGCAACGCTCCCAAGCCTCGAATTGTATAGTTCGGAGAACCCTAGTGCCGCTCTAGAGCTGGCTAAGCTTGCTAAGGTGTTAGTATTCGAATTAGATTTCGCAGCGATGACTTCTACCGACAAACAAAGCAAAGCGGTAGAAAACCTGACGAGCGACAAGCTTTTCCAACTCCTTCAGGTCTGCCTAAGCGCTATCGCAAAATGGGCCGGCAATCAAGAATTGCGCGCAGTCTATTACAGCATCTGCTACCGCCACCTGACGGGACTGGTGGACCACGGACAAGGAGGTTCGTCAAGCCTCCGAAAAACAACTAGAACAATACGGGCATTCGGTGAAAAGCTTCTAAATGTTATCTGCGATGACGCATTTGGCGGAGACGCAGCATGTCAGTCGGCAGCCTTGATTCTCTTAGGAACGCTAGTCCAACTTGGTAAGCAGGAGAATGATAACTTCGTGGTAGAAGCGTTGAACAGGCTGAACTTCATCGGTATACTTGTGGATTCTCTGCGTGGGGTGCTAGTAGAATGGGAGGAGGTTGATCGGACAGGTAAGTCCCACACACGCGGCATTTCTTATATTAGGAGTAGGAGTCTAATAAGCCGCATCTCCAGGCGATTCGGATCAGCAGAACTATTTAAACGCCAAACTCGCACTACTACTACAATTGTGCCAGACGCGAGAGGGCGCCAAGAATGTTCTACATGCGAATCTATTCCGCACTATCGAACAGTCGGGATTGTTTTCGGTGGATCCAGAATTGCAGGTGGATTCGACAGATAGCAGAGGCCTGCAGAGGCACTATACTCTCTTGGTCAACGTGGCCCGCATCATCGGTGCCGCGATAGTTAGTCGGGGATCGCATAACGTGCTGCAAGGCAGACGGTTCCTGACCGAGCACAGAATGTTGGTTATGCACGTCCTCAAACGTTCCGCTGGAATTGGCGCGGGAGGAGGGAAGACGGATGCGCTGCTTTCGGAACGCGTCGATGAATTAGCCGAAGCGTTCATGGTCATTATCACTGCGACGGGATTTCTAGAGGTAGGTCTAGAATATTCGTCTTCGTCTTGCGTCTACGCTGATCAGATTGGGCTAACACGTTAATTTTGTATAGTTTGAGGGCGGCAGCCTGGATGAGGACAAAAGGCCCGCGCCGATCCTATTCCACTGAGAATAAGACGGCCGAAATATTAGATGATGATATACCTAGTTCAGCCCCAAATTCCCCGGTGGCGTTATAGGAAGAAAAGGCCTTGGGCGTGTAATTTAATACTAGGTACATAGATCCTTCAACGGCGGCATCGTGGCTGAAAGCTGATCTGAGACATGAGAGAGACATCTGAGACGCCTGCGGGTGGTGTGCATAAATACAAGCAGCGCAAGGCAGGATGCGTGCAAACTTCCATGTCGGTTACTGATGATCCCTTATCATTAGCCAGGTACTTATCATGGATGGTGCAATCGAGTAAGGTACATAGTTGGGTGGATGAAAGGATATACCTTGTTTATTCTAGCGTGGCTTGTACCCCGGAAGACATCTAGAAGCCCCCCTTGAGTCTTGACGGATAAGGTACAGTAATTTGCTAACAGTATATGTAAGGAGGAGTTTGCCACAAAGCAAAGATATGCAATTGGATGATGATTGGTCAAAGAACGTGTGCTCTGTTAATAAGCTTTGCTCCAATTAGCTGGGTTTTAACTTGGCGTCGCCGCGTCGGTCCTTAAGACTTTGCTAGCTTTTGGTGCTCCCCGAGTCCCCGACTTCTCTTTGGTTACCCCTTGGCATTGGATAATAAAAAGTCGCAGCCTATCAAATGTCAAGCTAGCCATCAAACAGAGCTACTGGACTAACATCTTTCATCAAACTGCCAGATCTAGCAGCTCGTAACCTCCAAAGTCCAAAGATTCCTCAAGTTTCGACATACCCCTGATAATTAATCCTTGACAATCCCTCATCCATGTAACTTTTTATCTCGAGTCCGTGCAAACTTAACCATTGTGGGCAGTCCGTCTCCATAAACCGCACCCACTCCGCTCTAACAACGTCTCGGTACACTAGCTGGTTGGCTGAAGCCTTGGCCCTTGCAAAATGACGATGGCCAGCACGGTTGGGGAATCAGGAACCACCGTTCGGTACTGGCCGACCGTCGACGAACTGGACGAAGCAATTGATTTCCCAGCCAGGCCAGCTCTCGACAATGAAACATCACATGTGATCTGTGATTGATCTGCGACCGACATGCTTACAGTTCGTAGTATTCGGGGCGACTTATTATACGACCTTCTCCTGAATTCTCCTCGACGCTACTCCACCGGCCTCACGCATTGGTTAGGTGCCTTGTGATGAGGCGCCGAGGAAAAGCCAGAGGGCACGCGACATGTTACCAACCCCCGGGCAGTTTTTTTTCGCTTACCCACGATCATCTCCTCCTAGTACCATGTAAGTTAGGTACCTAGGTAGGTAAACATCCTAAGCAAGCTGCCAGGGCAGGGGTCCCCAAAGAGAAGAAGTTAGCCGGGCAAGGCCAAGAGCAAGAGCCAAGAGCCAAGAGCCAAGAGCCCACTACATAGTACATTCGTACGCCAGTACTGGTCGTCGGTCAGCGATATGCGCCTAGACTGGCTAGTTCCTCACAGACAAGAGTTGGAGAGAGATAAGCCATGCCCCGCTGCTGAGAGAGACGATATACAGAGCTACTACATACCTAGGTTAGTAGGCATGTACATCAGATAACCTATTGGTGCTTTGTTCTATTGTAAGGTTGCTACTACGTAGCAGTTGTTCCGCTCGCCAATCCGGAAAGCGGAAAACCTCGGGGATTGGTCGACAGGTTGCAAGACGACTCGTTACTTGCCCGTTGTTGGATCTAATCCGTATACTTATTTAATAGCTGAGCACCTCCCCGGTCTAACCTTCACCTCCCCTTCGCTTCTTGTTTGTTCTGATCCTCGAACAAAAATTACTTTGGGACTGAACACACAGGACTGTCTTCCATTCTCTTGTGTGTCGCTTATTAGTCGACCCTTTCTTTTTTTTTTGTTCGATTCCGTTCATTATCAGAAACACTTATCGAAAGAAGAAGAGTTCACGACAACACCATGGAGAAGCAAGGCGTGGTGCAGAGGTCGGCTAGGTCGACGACCTCGTCGCCTTCGGGCGACAAGGACATGATGTCGTACAACGATATGGACCTCGAGGGATCGCGCATTCGCGGTATCGAAACGTCGGCGGAGACGTCTCTACATCGCGGTCTTAAAGCCCGTCACATTACTATGATTGCTATCGGCGGTGCTATCGGAACAGGTCTCATCATCGGAACCGGTAAGGCTCTCGCGCAAGCCGGCCCGGGCTCTATCTTCATCTCGTACACTCTCGTCGGCGGGATCGTCTACCTGGTCATGACCGCTCTTGGCGAGATGGCTGCTTGGCTCCCCATGTCTGCTGGTTTCACTGGTTACGCTTCTCGGTTCTGCGATCCCTCGCTCGGTTTTGCCCTCGGTTGGACGTAAGTTGTCAACTTTCATTTTCGTAGCCTGGCTTATTCGCACGAATTGCGCAGCGCACTCCTAACGCGCTCGACGATCAAAACTAACCCACTAATCTCATATGATGTAGTTACTGGATAAAATACATCATCGTCACGCCTAATCAGCTTACAGCCGCGGCTCTGGTTATACAGTTCTGGCTGCCTCGAGAGCAAGTCAACCCGGGTGTCTGGATTGCCATATTCCTTGTCGCCATCATTTTTATCAACTATTTCGGTATCCAATTCTTTGGTGAATTCGAATTCTGGCTGTCGAGTTTCAAAGTCGTCGTTATCATCGGCGTTATCCTTCTATCTCTCATCATTGCTTGCGGCGGCGCAGACGGTGACCCGAGGGGGTTCCGCTACTGGAGGGATCCTGGGTGAGTAAATTACGCGATCTGAAAATAATAATCGTAATAAAGCTACTATAGAGAGACTAGGTCGCTAACCCGGAACAGTGCTTTCGTTCCTTACATCGCGACAGGCTCCTGGGGCCAGTTCCTCGGATTCTGGTCTACTATGGTCACTGCTACTTTCGCCTATCTGAGTACTGAGTTGGTCGGCGTGACGGTTGGCGAGGCCCAGAACCCGCGCAAGACTATCCCTCGCGCCATCAAGCTCACTTTCTACCGAATTGTCATCTTCTACTGCGTCAGCATTCTTTTGATCGGTATGTGCGTGCCCTATAACGCCAAAGAGCTTGTCTTCGCCGTCAACCCGGATAAGGATCCCAACAAGAAGGCCGGTGCCAATACCTCCAACGCCAGCGCCTCTCCGTTCGTCGTCGCCATCAAACTCGCCCATATCCCGGCCCTCGACCACATCCTCAACGCCTGCATTCTCCTGTTCGTCTTCTCCGCCGCCAACTCCGATTTGTACATTGCCAGCCGAACCCTCTATGGCCTGTCCTCGGACGGCGCGGCCCCCTCCATCTTCAGAAGGACCAACCGCAAGGGTGTACCCCTATACACCCTCTTCACCTCTGCGGCGTTCGGCCTCCTCGCTTTCTTGAACGTCTCGGACGACTCCAAGCAGGTCTTCTCCTACTTCGTCAACCTGACCACTATCTTCGGCCTCTTGACGTGGATCTCGATTCTAGTCACGCACATCTGGTTCGTGCGGGCTCGCCGCGCGCAGAACTTGACCAACGACATGTTGCCGTACTCGGCGCCGCTGGGTGTGTGGGGCTCATACGTGGCGCTGTTCATGTGCATCCTAATCGCGCTGACCAAGAACTTCGACGTGTTCACGGGCGACTGGAACACCAAGTACGCCAGTTTCATCACGGGCTACCTGGGCATCCCCATCTACTTGATCCTCATCTTCGGACACAAGGCCTGGACCAAGAGCAAGGGCGTCCGTCCTCACGAGTGCGACTTCTACACCGGCAAGGACATCATCGACCGCGAGGAAGAGGAGTTCCTCGCTGCCGAGGCGGCTAAGCGCGCGGCGACGCCTGAGACTAGACAGGGCCTGGCGCGCTTCTACAGGCGCTTTGTTTCTTGGCTGTTCTAGACGACAGCGCTGGCTGTGGTTGTATAAAGGAGGGTACTACTTGGGCGGGGCACGGGAGCGGGAGCGGGAGCGGGAGCGGGAGGTCGTATTGCTTGTTATATTGAAAAGATACCTATTTCTGTCTATATGTACATATGTCTGCGTTATGTTGCGCTACGCTGCGCTCGAACGCTATGGTATAATAAAGGAAATTTAATTTGTTAGGTGTATATTTTCGCGTCTTGAATGTGCATATCTATCTGTGTAGTAATTTCTCTATAGCAGGTATTAGTCATGTATACGTTGCTGTGTGTGATGGTTTGTTTATAGTGATATATGTGATTCTTTTTCACTGCCTACCTCATAAGGAGGTTGGCTACCTACCTGTATAAGCTATTTCGAGCCTCGGAGCTAGTCGGCACTACTACTACCTTCTACGAGTAAAGACGAAGTCGTCGCGGTTTACTGCCTTTAAGGTATGTGTGTGCGTGTGTGTGTGTGTCAGAACTTACATGATCCCTAAATCCCGGATGCGACTCCCGCAGTCGGGAAGCCTTTGAGGCTGAAGAAGACCGGAAGATAGCGGTAGGGCAGGCAGGCAGGCAGGCAGGCAGGCAGGCAGGCACAGACATACCTTGGTATGTAGCATCACAGGCAACGCGAGCGGAGATTGCGAGGACCCCTGCGTAGGAGGGGGTTTCTTCTCCAACCCCTTGACTTGGTCTCGGTATTGCAGTACGTTACGTTACCTACCTAAGATGGCGGGGTGGGATGGGATGGGAAGCGCATGAATGATATTCCTAGGGTTGCCTTTTCTTGCTACATTCAATTGGCTTTTTATAGATTTCTGGGGTGGGAGTGGGAGTCGTGATTGCGGCGGGCGTTGGTGATGGTCACGCCGAAGGATTCGATCCGCGCCCGTGGAATTTCTCCTTGCTCTTTCGCTTATTCCGAGAGTAGGTACTTTAGGTCATCGTAGGTGATTCCGTTGGATACTACGACTAGGATCACGATAATCTAAGACATACAGAGATGCATTGATTAATAGCTCTAAAGAATACCGAGTTATGCTCTACTAGTATTATGGTACCCAATGGAGTGTGCTAGACATATCCACGCTATTCCCCTTACTTCAGTTACACTATCTGCATTCACGTCGTGTTTGCTAAAACCGAGTAGGCAAGTTGATGGGCGTATTCTTACGCAGACCTAACCCGGGACATATCTTCTGGTTGACTCGAAGAGACCAGGATCTGGCCCGAATAGGGGATGAGGTGACGATCCCGCAGTACATAATACTCCTTTCCTGGAAAGTGGTATTCAACGCAAAGGTAAAGTTGACACTTGTGCGACTATAAATATGACAAGTCATGGAATTAGGCTATCATATTATGTATAGTGGCGATTTTGAACTCCTAGGAAGTCATTTTTACTGGGTTACTACGTACATCGTCGCTTATCAACAGCCAACGGCTTGTCTCAGGACTTGGACTCTACCTGGGACGCTATTAATACATATATAGACCCTAGTGGTATTCTAGCGATTTGGCTTGCTTTTGCTAAATGGAATTCGGAAAGACTTGAGGGGCTATAGACCGTATCGGGCTATTAGTATAACGGCATGTCAGCTCTACAGATTCAGAGATATGCAAGCGTGTTGATATCTATGCGTCAGTGGCTTTCGATTTTGGGTGAAATATGTTATCAAACTCGTAGCCCAGCTGCAGCCATCGTGGAGCAGCCTTTCGAATGAGTGTAGATTATCAGCGCCACTATGTACACGATTCCTCGGTTAATGCCAACAACGAAATGAGGACACAAGCAGGCGTCGTTCTAGGCTTTATGGCTTGGGACATTAATAAGAATTAAATTCCATAATCTCGATTTCTAGCCACAATAATAATACACCAATCATCAGCATATATATCTTCGATACTTACCTACGACATGGCAATAGAATCTGTATTGCTCATAAATTCTTGGTAAGATATACTACCCCGACCAAGTCAGAATGGACATGTCGTATGACCAGCCACAGTACCTAATCGCTACTGTAGCCAAGGCCTGCCGCTCCGAGTCAGGCTTTGGTACCATATCGCCTTCTGTGTATGACACGGCATGGCTGTCGATGATACAGAAGCCTCCCAGGTCTGGATCATGGCTGTTTCCTAAATGCTTCGAATACGTATTGGAGCATCAATTACCTAGTGGTGGCTGGAAATCATACGGTACCGTTGCTGATGGTATCCTCAACACCTGCGCGGCCCTGCTGGCCCTCCGGAAGCATATGGCGCTGTGTCCAGGCAACGAGGGCTGGACACAGCGGAGCCAGAGAGCGGAAGCTGCGCTGAAAGATATGTTACAGGAATGGGATTTGTCGCCTTCAGATCAAATTGGGCTCGAGTTACTAATCCCCAAGCTCTTATCCCTCCTAGCGAGCGAAGGTGTTACTATTGAGCTCCAAAGGGTAGCTCAACTGCAAGCCTTGTATGAATACAAGATAAAGAAACTATCCTTGGAAGACATATATGGCGCCCCATCCACGTTACTGCACCATCTCGAAGCCTTCACAGGCTATCTTGACTTCGACCGCATTCGGGACCGTCGAGAGAGAAATGGCTCTATGATGAGTTCCCCTTCCTCGACTGCTGCGTATTTAATACATGCTACTACTTGGGACGAAGAAGCCGAGTCGTATCTACGTTCAGCCTTGGAGCGTAGCTCGAACATAGGATCCAGTAGTGTACCGTGTGCCTGGCCAACTAGCATTTTCGAAGTTTCCTGGGTGAGTATTCTCTTCGGAGCAAAACATCACACAGAAATATAATAACTAATTGTACCCCTTTGAAAGTCTGTTACCACATTGGCCCAAGCTGGTATTCCGATCGGAAAGGACGATTCATTGACTCTACGTACATTTCTTGAAGAAGCTCTTAAATCTCGCAATGGCTGTGTCGGGTTTTGTAAGTATATTGATGACGGTGGCCACGCTTAAGCTAACTCTACAACTAGCCCAGTTCTCTACCCCTGATAGTGACGATACCTCCAAAGCAATCATGGCCCTAATATGTCTAGGGGGTGGCCCCAGTGTGCGTTCTCTGATACAGACCTTCGAGTCAGAGAATCATTTCATGACCTACGCAGGGGAAAGCAACCTGAGTATCAGCTCCAATTGCAACATCCTTGCATGTCTCTGCATGCTCGAAGATCGCTTACCTTACGTTGCTCAAATCTCTAAAGCCGCAAAATTCCTATGCTTCCAAGTTACCGCCGGTAAAGCTAGAGATAAATTGGTAAGTAGTAATTCGTGTCTGACCAAGCGTCAAGTGCAGCAGAGACCAACTGATTTCCTCGTGATCTTTAGCACCGCCACGAGCTCTACTGGATGATGCTTCTAGTTCAAGGCTTTGGTTATCTTTATCGTAGCCCTCACGATGGTCTACTTGAGAAGGTCTTTGAAAAGGAGCCTAGCCTTGAAGAGCAGATACCCATGGTATCTTTCTACGTCCTTAGCGTGCTGCTGAGTTCTCAACAGTCTGACGGCTCCTGGGATGGCATTTGTGAAGCAACGGCGTATTCTGTTCTTGCATTGGCATCGCTGGTCCGGCTCCCGTGGATTGGTCAAGAACTTCACGAAATTGGTATTATTCAAAGCATCGAGCGAGGGAAGGCGTTCCTAGCGTCAGCTAGCAGAAGAGAACGCACCAAACCCGAGTTCCTTTGGATCGGGAAAGTCACCTACACCTCAGAAATTCTTTCTCAGGTATACTACCAAGCCTCCATGTTCATCACGCCGCCTACTTACGAAAAGGAATATAATCTCTCCCGCTCACTCTCGCCTCTTCCCGAAGAAACGCTGCGCAGAATGAGACAGGCCAGGGACTTGATTAAACGGACACCACTCCTTGCCCAATTAGACAAAGGCATTCTTAAAGCAGCCGAGCTGCAAGCATGTTACGCTCTCGGCCAGCTTGACCGACTAGAATTGGATATCTTCCCACGCAATTCCATGCGCAAAAATATGCACTTGACCTTCGTTCCGCTCCCCTGGATGGCTTGTAACTCACTGTCGGGCGGTAAGGCAAGCTTCTATGTGTTGCATGAGATGATAGTCGGAACAGTACTAGTGTATGAGGCCGATGAATATTTTGAAGCAACTGTTGAGAAATACCTGGGCGACCACCTAGACCAAGTCGAGATGCTGATCCGGAGCCTCTGTGACGAGGTCAGACCCCCTGTTCCCGGGAACCGCCAGTCCGACGATACCCATGATACGACGTCCAAACCATCTTTTCTCGCTCGAAAACGCGACGATGGGATATCCGAGGACACTTTGGCCTATTTACAGGATGTAGAAGTCGTGCTCCGCAAATTCATCGCCTATATGCTACAACACCCCGTCGTGTTATCCAAGCCATCGCATTTACAGTCGCGGCTAGCGACTGAGTTGCAAACGTTCCTTCTGGCTAATATCACGCAAGCCAAAGACAACATAAATCTGCGCCGTAAGCTCGCGCACATAGATGATAAGAGATCTCTAGAAGCAGACTCCCACGGCGACGCGATCCTACCGAGCCAACGGTATAGCGTGGCGCCCGAACGATCCTTTTACAATTGGGTCCGCGGTACCTCGGCAGATCATGCTTCTTGTCCATTTGCCTTTGTGTTTTTCAACTGCCTCATAGACTCTAACCTCTTTACATACGCCAGGACAGCGTATATAGCCGAGGACCTCTGTCGTCACTTAGCCAGCTTGTGTCGCATGCACAATGATTACGGAGGCGTGGCTCGTGACAGAGAAGAGGGAAATCTCAACTCGACTCATTTTCCGATATTCCATCGCCATCGAGATTCAGACGGAGAAGATTCAACGGGTCTAGGCGTTTATAGTGAGGCCGAGCAACAACAGCTGATCAAGAGCAAACTCCTATGGATAGCAGAGTACGAGCGTCGAGGTCTGAACGCTGCTCTATCCGAGCTCGAGAACGAATTGGGGGATTCCGACAATGGTCGAAGGCTTATTGATGCAGTGAAGTTGTTTATTGACGCTATAGACCTATACGGACAGGTTTATATGATTAGAGATATGACTCCCCGTAACAAGTAAATAGACGAGTATTATTCATACGCCTTACCTAGCTCCTAAGCCAATATTAAAGAGAACAGTTCTATAAGGAAAAGGGAAATCGATTTACAACACACTACCATGCTCGTGCAACATCTTTTTAATCCACCTAGTTCTTAAGTACACAAGTTCAGTTCGAGGAGTAACCAGAAAATGGTGGATAGCGCAAGCCTCCGTCAAGTATGTGTGAGCTCTTGTCTTTTTCCCACAGCTACGTGTCTTACTGTTTTCTCGCCCCCTTTTCCTTCCTATATCTAATCTACCATAATAATACGCCTAGTATTGCACCTATGACCCATGCCTCACCATCACTATAGTCCAGCTCGTGATTATAAATCACGGGTGGGTATAGATTCATTCTCCCAAGCAAATGTCATTCATTTCTACCTACCTAGGTTAGCAAATCAAAACTCGATCAAACTCCAATTGCCTACCGCCAATTAACAAGAACCGTCTCACCCTCTTCCAAACCCACCATTCTCACCGTCTCCTTCCACACCAACTCCCTCTTCACCACGTCCCTCGACTCCCCACTCGTCTCCAACGGCACCCTCCCATCAAAATACCCATCCTTGGGCGGGTTTCCCCCCTCACCCACCACCCCAAACGCCGCCTCCAAGACATCGCCCGCGGAGCGGCTCGGCGGCCTCACCGGGCCGTTCGGGTTCCAGTACAGGATAAGCGGGTATATGATCTGGAAGATGAGCACGCGGATCACCCAGTTCGCGAGCCTCTGCAGGCCGCTAATCATGGTTCCCGGGTCGACGCCGAGCACGCAGATCTTGTTTAGCGCAGGGTCGGCGTCTAGCCGCGCTTGTAACTCGTGCTGCATCATGATGAGGAAGAGCTTCGCGGCGCCGTACCGCCGGAACCCGCCCCGGAAGGATGCATCTTCGGTGGCGGGACTCCAAGATCCTTTGGCGATTGCTTCGAAGCTTGCAGCATCGGAGAGGAATGTTTTGTATTTAGGGTCCTCGAAGGCTTTACTGCGAACGTTTCGAGGGTCATTAGGACTGGGTTAGTTGTGTCATATGTTAGCTTCGGTAGATTTATTCCTATTATTCCCATCAAGAAACAGGTCTGGAAGGGGAAAAAGAAAAATAGTAGGAGACGCTTACTCATGACTCTGGCTTCCAATCACGACGACCCGCCCATCCTCTTTGTCTACGCTCTTAAGCAAAAGAAGGGTAAGCAGCCAGTGGCCGAGATAGTTTGCCGCGAAGGTGGTGTCGAGGCCATCGTCAGTCCAGGACTGCTTACCAAAGTCCTGAAAGCCAGCGTTGAGGATGAGAGCGCGGATAGGTGGGAGCTGGCCTGCGGAAACGCGGGCCTGCGACGTGGATCGTCAGCGTTAGAAATATCTAGGTAAGTACCTTGATATAAGGTACATACCTATATTTTATATGGTTCATCAGCTTATTAAACTCACATTAATATCCTCTGCTACTTGACGAACGTTGTCAAGCTTCGTCAAATCAAGACCTACGACATCATGCTGATGTGCCGGACCAACTGCAACAGCCGAAGTAAGAGCGTCCGCATGCGTCAAATCGCGGACGGTGTAAAGCCCGTGGTAGGTGGAGAATTCGGGCTTAGAGGCGATTTGCTGTGCTATGGCGCTTCCGAGGCCGCCGTTTGCCCCCGTGACGAGGATGGTCCCTTTAACGGCGGCCATTTATTTCTCCTTCAACAGCTGTTCGGCTATCCCACCAACTAACTAAATGGGACAGGCCGGGGAAGAAGAGTATGAAAAATGCTACGTGAGAGTGAGATGGGAAGCGCAAATATGTAACGATAGATGGAGTAAAACTATTAAGATGACGAGAGGGAGAAGACCCGAGTCCTCCGGGTCACCATAAAGACTAAAGTGCAATTCTAGTATAGGCTCATTCAGTCACGGTATGTAAGGGAGCACTTATTAATATTCTATATACACCGCGCCTAACATCCTCCTTCACCGAGCCTCACCGAGGTCGCCTAGATGTGAAGCTGTCATGACCCTTCTAATAAGCTACACGTATTAAACCATACTACCTACCTAGGTAACTATCCGTTTCCGTTAAAGTCCGTTTTGTTTATAATGCTACATTGGCAAACGCGCTGTGCCCAATTTGTCGTGAAGTAATCTGTAGAACAAATACTCCAATGCCTTACTTTACGATAACATATGAAGAGTTATCTATTAACGTATGTCACATACCTAACCAATAAGTTAGTATAAACCGGACAAGAGAATAAAGAGAATCGTCCCTTTTCAATTAATTATCACAGCAACAATATCACGTCGTTGCTTACGCATCCCTGAGCTAAGCTAAGCTAAGCAATTCCGAGGCCAGTTACGTTGCTAACCAGCTTTCTCCTATCCGCGACCAAGTATTAATATGACCACATGGCGACATACGTACATACACCTATAGTCCAAGCTGCAGCTGGCTAACCTGGTGGAACACTCGATAACCTTCCGTCCGCAACACGGATACGTATACATGTACGGTTCCAGCCTGCTCGGCAGGCACTTTCAACACCAACTACTCCGCGAAATCAGGACGTGAATGCAAAATAGCAGAGGTAGCAATGCAAAGTCGTCTGGACGACACGAGGTAGCCTCCTTATATTGAACGGTATGATAATCAGAAGTCATCCCTGCTTCATGATACTTTTCAACCCGAGGGGACGCGCCAAAAACGCATGAGCCTCCACAACAAAAAAAGGGACGCTCGAGATTCGAAGTCCAAGTTTGTTAAACCCGAAAAAAAAAGTATAAAATTCCACATTACAGCACGCGTAAAAGCATCAAAAAATGACATACAAACCGGCCTTAAAACAAAGGGGTGGGGGGAAGGGGTATCCATAAAAAGAGGAGAGCACATCCTCTTCTCCTATTTTTTCATCCCGTTGGAAGCGGGTCGTCATGAGCATCCCCCAATTCGAAAACAAATAGTCATCTCCCAAAAAACCGCGCATAAACGTCGTCAAACTTCGAGAGTGAGGCATTCAAACCCGTCATCAATCAAGCCCATTCGCTAAACCCGCATTTCCATTCCACCTGATTTTCCAGACGAGAACCACCGACAACCCAAAACTTGAAGATGAAGAAAAAAAAAGAACCGTTATTCTAGCTGTTCAAAACCATCTGATTCAGATCCCCTTGCTCGAGCGGTACGAAGGATTGGTCTCGTCTGATTTACCAGCCTGATTGTCATGCCCCAGCAGAACAAACCGCTATCTTGGTCCGAAGTCTCTTCCTCCTAGGGGTGTGCAGGCTTCTCGTCGTGCGTCGTCCGAGTTGGCGGGGGAGAACTTGGCAGCGGGATTTCGTGTGGCTCACGCGGCTCGCGGAAGGAGTTCATCTCAGGTGTTGCAACACGAACTGGGCCCGGACCTGTGGGCGCCCCTTTTTCGTCTATGCTTCCCATAGTTTCTGCACTCCTTCCCGAGGCTAGAAAGGCCTGTACTTGATCTCTCGGAGGGGACTTCGTGCGCTTAACCTCCACGTTTTCCTTCGCTTCCCGATACTTATTCTTAATCCATCCGATGGGACCCTTCGAGTCTTCTTTCTCTCTACTTCCGGCTTCACTTTCCGCTAGTGTTGCCGCCACATCTGAGGATTCGCCCGTCCAACTCTTTCGTGGCCTTTGCCCGCTCCCGATAGAAGAGGTGCTTAACTCGGCATGGGAATTATAACCCAGGTTGTGACCATGTTCGCTAGAGAAATCCTCCTTTCGTCGAGATATACGCCATCGATGTCTCTTTTCTTTTTCGGCCGCATCTGGAGAAGAGACAGGCGCGCCGCCCTCTGCCTGGTCCACATCAGACCCGTCGTTGAATGACGAGTGTAAGGATGTTGACGGTGAGGTCTTTGCCTTGAGCGTATTATCATTCTCTGAATCACCATGCGCGGTGCTCGCAGATGGCACCTGGGACGCTCGCGGCGTAGGCTCTGATGGTGTCTCTATAGAAGTACTATTCTCTGTGTTAGTAGGACCTGGATGGGGAGCTTTCTGTTCTATCGGATTCGAAGATTCATGAATCGGAGAAACTGCCTCCGAATGAGGAAGTGAGGCGGTCGAACTCTGGGCACTGGGGTTGGTACTACTAGGTAATCGCTTTTTGCGTAGCTTGTTGGGCTGGCGCTTTTCACCTTCCGCAGCCTGGGATCGTTGGAAAAGGCTCTGGAGGTTCCTTTCCCTTAAAGGGGTTATAATATCGGCAGGAGGACCTAATAATCTTTCTTGGCTTCTTCCAGCGGAATGCGATCCTGCCGCCATCGGAGTTAGGTGCTGCGATGTCGCAGGAGACTGTTCGGCTACGGTTGGCGCTTCTTCAGCTACGGTCGGTGGAGCGGCTGCGTAAGAACCAGCGGGCGAGGGCGAGGGCGAGGGCGAGGGCGAAGCTGGAGCTACTGAGACACTAGGCGAGCTCTGCCGAGGTTGGAATTTTCCAGAAGGAATATGAGGCGATTTCTTAGACGGAACTGTATTACTTCTTCCCAGTCCACCATTTGGGGTTAGAGCAGGGCTACCAGGCGTGGAAGCACCGTTAGAGTGAACCGAGTGCCGCGACGACGTAGAACGATTCCGCCGAATCTTACCATCCCTACTAACGCTCTCAGCGCCAGCGCTAGCATTGGAGGCAGACCTTGCAACGCCGGTGTTGCGGTTCGGCGTCGCGGGTGTTACAACCGTCGGCGGGCCCTTTTCGATTTCTTGTTTAGTCCTCTCATCCGTCCCGGTGCCTTGCATACCGATTAAGAAGTGATCCTGATTTTCAATCAAGAATATAATAACACATTGGTTAAGTCGGTACTCCTCTGGCGCCATGGCATGTTGCGGATGCGAGAGCATTCCAGGTTGAAAGATGGCAGCTAGATTTTGGGCTGTCATCCGATTCTCATCAGCCTTGGCGGCAAATACCGCAAGCAGGTCCAGAATATACAAGAGCAGTTGTCGGTTAAGCGGGGGCAGTTCCTTAATAAGCTGTTGGTACTTTTCTATAGCTTCAGCTTCGTCGAAATCCTCGACGAGTTGGGTACCCTCGGTGTCGCCGACAGCTTGTTTTGTGTGCCCGCGCAAGGGATCTCGAAATCGCTCGTACAAATCTAGCGGAACTACGGGTTCGGGTAGGTCATTCAAATACCGTCGAAGGACGTTAGCAGCATCGTGAACCGTATACCCATCCCACACGAGACCTTTGCCATATCGATCGGGCGAGTCGAATTGTATCTTTAGCTCCTTAATGCGCTTCTCGGAGCCGCTGAGGCGGAAAATTCCCTCTATGCTGGTAGCTATAACACTATTAGCATAGAGACTAGATGTCTTACGGCTTCGTCACTAACCTTTCTCTTTCAGAAAAACACCACATTTAGCCACTACAATTGGTACGTATCCATATATGTAGCTTTGACCGTCCTCATCGACAAGCGAAATGGCGACGTTCGCGTATGTGATGCTCTGTCGTAGAGGAACACCAAATATACCCTTAGGTTGGGACTCTATTTTGGCTCTAATGTTAGCTACCGCCTTCTGTGATCGCACTTTGTATTTCTCTATTCTCCTCGACTGCCAATATAGCGTAGCTTGTGGAGCGAACCTGCTATTAGAGACGTAGGCTGACCATTCTGAGTTCCTCGACATATATGTAGGGCCGTATAGCATACATCATACCAATACCGACGGTTAGGGGATTGGGATGGAAGACTGGTAGCTTGTAGGAAAAAGTTGAATAGTGGGCGATTGGCATGCGGGTGGGAATGGGTATGTGATTGTAGCCCTTACCTTGGGATTCTTGGTGCCTTGACCGAGTTTGGAAAGCCTTCCACCACGACTTCAGATCTCGCCTGCTAGGCGGGGATGCAGGATTAGCAGCAGGATTAGCAGCAGGAGACGGATGCTGCTGCGGTGGACTCATTTGCTGCTGATTTCGATGTTGTTGTGGTTTCGAGGGCGACGTAGTGCCGGCAGACGCCATGGCCTATGACGCGCGGGCGACGGTGACCGCGACCGTCAGCAGGGTTAAACGATACGTCGTGACGATGGATGCGCGTGATCTTGTACGCCTTTGGTAACAACGACCTTTGTGTTGAGAGGATAGGTAATAAAATGGAGGAAGCTTCGAGGTTCGCCGTGTTAAGAGATGTTAAAAGACAAGATCAAATGCGGGCGTGTGCGTGTGTGTGCGTGTGTGCGTAGACGTGGGTTTGGTGGGTACCTAAGGTTGTAGGTGGGTGGTGGGTGGTGGATGGTGGATGGTTGATTGATTGATTGCCGACGATAGAGAGCAACGACAGGGCGGCAGGGCGGGTACAGGTATAATAATAATGAATGTCGGGTCTAAGCCAAATGTCCAAATGTCCAAATGTTTCAGGGCGGGCTAGGACCTAACAAATTAACAAATGGGACTTGGACAATTTTCAAGCGTCGGCAAATGGGAGCACCTTTTGTGACTGCTATCATTAATACATTCAAATTTGTTAAAAGGGCGTCGGGTAGGTTGAAGATGAAGTGAGTTGTGGTAGCCCTCAATTATTACCAGAGCACAATAGGGTAAGTTGATAAATGTGGTATGGTCGTGTAGGTACCTAAGCGTAGAGAAATATGTCAGGGTCAGATAGGTTAACTTGAAGTTAGGTAGGTACCTAAGGTACCTAGTTTGGGTGGTAGGCTGGGTTGTAGCCCGTAGGTATGTACTACATTAGGCCTAGGAATGCCACTCTCACCTACCTACTTAGGTACCTACCTGCCTTTATGTTAGCCCGGGAGAGAGACTGCGACCCTGTTAACTGTGGCTTAGATAGGTACATAGTGCACTATACTGTACGGAAATACAGTGCATACCGTCCTACTATTATTACTATTATTACTGTTATTACTGTCTCTAGGTTAGGTACCTCGAACAATGGATGTACCTACAACTTATTACGGTACATGTCCTCATGTTGAAATGCGACATTGAACCATTCAAGTCTAAACTCTAATTCCCTATATCCAACAAAGGTATACAATTATAAGTTTAATACCGGTTATACTATGTACCTCTTACATGTACTGGAACCTTGATATACTACATCGTACCTATCTCCGTCCTCGTGCAGCACATCTCCATTTTACTTGGTAAAAGGTATAATTCGTCTTTCATAGCGGACTCTTGATGAGCATAGTATATAGCTGCCTGTTGCTGCCTGTTGCTGACTATTTCGTTTTACGGCTGCCTTTAGACTCGTCTCTCCTTTACACTTGGCATTCCCATATTGGATATTGGACATGGCGGAAACGTTACTGGCCTCCTATATGTAGATCTCCCATGAAGATAGACTTGAGGGCTAGTTGAAGTAAAGTTGGACGAAAAACTTTCTAGCTATACACGACATATCTAAGATGCTCTGAGACACCGCTTACAAAATGGTACAAAAATATGGCTTACATCAGAGACATGGAGACATGGAGACATGGACCTCGAAGCTCGAGTGGGCCGTGTGGAAGACTGTGCTAAGCCTCTACGTTGCACTAATCACTTCCGGACCGTGACACCGCAACCCTACAATCGGGGAGCCTACCCCCCTAGACTAATAACGTCGGAGGGGTCAACCAATTGACCCCTAGGTCACTTACTAGCCAAAAGTGCAATGGAGTCGCAAAAAAGAGGCAATACTAGTGTTTTGTATGTGCGCACCACCAAATTTTAAGTATTACTTAATTGTCACGTACTTTTACTATGTACATATTGATTTAATAAACAAAACTTAACGAAATAATTAAATATAAAATATAAAAAAATTATTTTTATAAAGATAATATTAAAATATATTTATTTACATTTTTTCACATTTTTTAATATTTGTATTAATTATTTTATAAGGTTTATAATTATTATAAATTTTTATTTTTATTTTTTATATAAATATATATTACATTAAACAGTATATGTATAAATCATTATGCGTATATATGACATACATGCTATAAAACAAAATACACAAAATTTGGTAGTAAGCACTAGTAAAATTAAGTATTGAAATTTTGCAACTCCATTGTACTTTTGGCTAGTAAGTGACCTAGGGGTCAATTGGTTGACCCCTCCGACGTTATTAGTCTAGGGGGGTAGTAGAGGCGGTCGAACAATACGCAGGCATCAAAGGGGCAGAGGGGCAGAGGGGCAGAGGGGCTTCCAAGACCCACGAGTCTAGAAGCGCATCTTACATACAGACTTCTCGTATCGTTCCAAACAAGGTTAACAGGTTTATTCTGAAACATGGTTCAAGCTGTATTTAAGAAGCTATTATTAGCTCCCTCGAGAGCTTACACTACACTATTGTGAGGTACACAGCCTATGAGGTAGTTTTATAGGTGACCGCTTTTGGACATTGCTTAGACTTCTTCGCTGAGCTCAAGCCACAGCAACGACAGGTCTATTCGTATACTACCTTGCTTCACTGGCTTAAGTCAAGCCGTTGCCACCTTACTTCAATATGCCGGGCCAGTTAGCTATCATGCTGTCAGCGTCATATGTTACCATTTCCAAGTTTTTGATAGGGTAGAGTAAAGACAGAGAAATACACCCCAACTTGCTCAGCCTCTCTAGCGTCTCTATCGACAAGCACGAGCAACCAGGGACAAGCACGTATCTGCGTATAAGGCTAGGGGAAAAGAGGGGGCGGGTCACAGACATACATACATAAGGCATTATTACCGTCAAACCGTCTCTCTCAAGACCCAAGTTCTAGAAATGACGTCGACCCTTACCAGCCCTTCCACAGCGTTGCTCAAAGAAGGGGATTGTCTCCTTTGTTAGTCGAATCCGGACTGTCCTTGGCAATCTACATTCGTGTTGGCGTCACAACGCACCCCTCTCCCCAGGGCCCAAATGTGTACCCCGTGCACATACGGGAGCACGAATCTTTATATCCCATGTTATTTGATAGGAAGAAGCTCCTGAGGTCCCCAAATTTGGCTGTAGTATTACAATGCGCTTGAACCCCGCCGCCGATCAGCACGGGCGATACCTCATTTGGGGTAATCTTTTCTTTGGCTGCTGCCTTCACACTTCACAACTTCCCCCCCTCGCTGTCAAACTCCGGCTGGAAGATTGCTTACATAGATACTACACCACATAACACACCGCGGATCGTCGTCTCATGCAACGGCAGCTTGAAGTACTATTACGTAGACAAGCATGGCTGATGGGCCACGACGAGCTGGAGGATGGTCACATTGTTGAACCAGGTACGGAAGCATCTTGGACTTCCGGATTGTTAGCTTTCACATGGGAAGCTCGCCCCGCAGATCATCTCTTTAGAAGGATACTACATCATGAAGCTTAGCTCTACAGTACTACGTATGCACCTAAGTAAAAAGTCCTAGCCATGCGTCTACCTTACCTTATGTATTAGCCATTGGTTTCGCTTCATCTTGATCAAGACTCGTACGTACCTATCCATAGTATGCACCCACCATAATACGACTATATAACTCCCGTCGAAAGACGATAGGATAAGAAAACAGACAAGATCATCCTAGGTCGTCGGATTTCTAAAACTAGTATCCAGCTCTAGCTCGAGGGGATACACATCTATGTAGATATTAGAAAATAAGCGTCCGACCTAGCGATGAGAATATCTACCGTAGCGGCAGTGGGTGGTTACCTGTTAGGCGCTTATGGCGATAGATTGATACCTACCTAGGTATCAATATAGGTATATTGATCGACGTAGGACGGTAGTTCAGGCACTAGCTCTTGACAGACGTCATAATGGGACATCTCCCGAGCCCATGTCATATACACTACCTAGTTTAATCATAAAATCAATATAAGAATACTGGCATTAGAGTCATCTCCCTGACTTCACCCTACGAAATCAAATAGAAAATAGCCAAGGCATCGTCAATTTCCATGTTGTCCATACGGTAACGAGAATGGCAGGGCTGCCGTATACATTGTAGGTACAGAGGACGCCATAGTCCGAAAATTCATATGCAACCAGCCCCTGGCAGCTCTAGCAAAAGAACCCTATGATTTACCGTGAACACCGACTAAGACACACGCAAAATAACAACGAAGCAAGATACGACCGATCTTTTCCCTATCCACGGAACACTCCATGTCCGCCAAAAGGGGTATTCGGTCGTCGTAGGAACAAAATGCCAAACATGTCTGGGGGAACCTGTACCGCCCGTGCACAAGGTTACGACGGCCAAAACCACATAGTCGTGATGCCGTGTATCTGTACCCCCCGCCAATACGCCAGAGATTTGCGACAGAGATTCCTGTGCTAACACGCCAACTCACACGGAGGGCCAAGTAACGCCCTCCCAATCCAATTGGCGTATGCCCGAGACCCTAAAAGTGTTGACATACGAAAAGAAAAAGGGCGCCGGTTTGACGGCGACAACAGAAAGAATCCCCGAAGACCTATAAATATACTGAAGGTGAAATGAAGTCGCCGCCCAAAACGCCGAATGATGAATCCCGTCGGTGATGATGAGACCAGCCATTGTCAGTCATGGCAGTGGGATTAGTCTTAATAAACAAATTATAAAGGCCGCGGGGCTTGAATAGGTGTAGTGCAATCTTTTTACGTGTCGTCATACGTCGTGAGAAATGGTCTTTTTAGGTTATCAAGCACCGATGGGAACACTCCGCGGTGCAACATCGCCGCTACGTTTTCGGGGTAGATTTTGTTGGGCTTTCGAAGCATTGGCGATCATCTGCAATTTCTTTCGGAGGGCCGTAAGTCTGCCGTTGATCATTTGGATCACTTAAATGACGAGTTAGTCGTACAACAGTCTACTACTTAAAGAACTAGGAATACATACTTTTATGAACAGCTTGCTGATCATCCGGATTGATATCAGATGCGCTCTCTCGAATCAGATCGCGTTCGGCCTTTGAAGATCCGGAAAGCCTGCGTTTTGAGAGGTCTTCATCGTTATCGAGCACTGCTTCAAGCATTCGGATGGCAGTTAGATACGAGAGTTCGCATCCACTTAAATCCTCGTTGGCAATTTCGTTGATAGCAGCGGCGCGGCTCATTTCGAGGGCTCTTTCGTACATTAGCTTTTCGGCGCTGAGACCCGCTGTCAGCACAATACCCTCTGTGCTCGAGGTGCCAGCCGGGAGGAGTTCAAGTGGATTATTTGCTGGGTGGCTTGGGTGGTCCTCTGGAAGCTGCTTCTGAGCTTCGAGAAGCTTTAGCCGTACCACTTCAGCTTTCTCCAATGTCTCGTTGAACCGTCTACGGACCCACTGGACGGCGGAATTGACCCTCGTTATTAGGTTCTGAGCACTAATTGCATCGCGATTAATGACGTGCTGAGTAGAGCTAGAATCAATGCGATTCCTACGCGTCCACCAGATATTTGCGATATCCATAGACCTGGCAAGAAGCGAGAGGGTTTTCACGTAGAGAACCAGAGCTTCCTCTGAGAGCGACACAACGGCTTCCACAGTTAGACCATCGTCCTCTTCTAAGACCATCTTCTCGGCGGGCACTCCGCCCAAGCCATGGTCCATCGAAGGCGCCAACGGTACTAGCTGCTTATACTTTACTTCAGCGAAACCCCAGACAACGTCACTTCGCGA